TGGACATTTAGATAAAAAAAATGCTGAAAATGGAATGTTCTTTCACATTAGTTATAGCCTTTTTTTTCAACAGTTAAAGATGGGTTTCCTTAATTTTAAGTGTCAAATTAAGCAAACTACTCTAATGAATTATCATGTATTCTTATTTATATCATTATGTCCTTATTGCATATAATTAAGAGTTTTAACCAATCATAAATGTCCATGTATGTATAGTCTGGATAAAAAAAAAATACTTTTTGGCCTTCCTTAATCGGTCACTCATTGGAATTCTGCTGGTAATTCTCTTCTAATTTAGCTAATTATGAATAAATTATGGACATGTGAGACAAACTGGTATTTTTCCAAGTCATTACAACACCTCTACTTTATATTCATATAAATATTAGCATTTTCATTTTCATAATTGAAAATAAGGGAACTCACCTTTAAATAGGCATGGGGCAATATAATGTGCAAGTGTCTCCATAAATGACTTTAAAAAAACTTCAAATCCTATTAAAGAGGCAGTATGCAAAATTTTCATAATCAAAAACATCATAAATTATACCTGAAAATATTTCTAAAGTATGTTATTTTTATCTATGTATCTACTTGATCAAACTGAATTTGTTTTAAAAGGGTTAAATAAAGAGAGTACTAACATAAAGAGAGTACTAACTGATAATTACGTTTTGGTGCTTGTTTTTATAAAGGCGTGATATTATTAGTTGATACCTTTAGAATATTTAAAAGACATATTTCTCTACAATTAGGCATTTATTGTACTTAAATCCCTACATTAGTTTTCTACATTTCCAAAAAGCATAACAAACTTTAAAACCTTACGTAAAGTTTTTAAATATTTTTGGCGTTTAAAAATTAACAGCTGGATCTTTTCAGTTAAAACTTTCAGATACGTTAAAGGGCACATTTCTCTAGATTTTGGTGTAGAATTTTCACAAATTTTTGCAAAATTTTTTTCAGCTACAAAAAAAGCAGAATGCCCCTTTAATGTTTGAAAATTTGAGATGAGGTGGTTAACATTATTGATTTAGAGTGAATGTCAAAAGCTTATTTTAAAGTAATTATAGTCCCTGATGCTTTATATTTCAAAATAATGACAAGACATGTCCTTCATGTTAATTACAAATAGATTACTCATAATCATTAACCTAATGTTCAAGTCACTTCTGAAATGATGTGATTATCACCACTTTGGCATAAAGAAAAAGAGGTTGAGATTCACTCGTCTAAATCGAAAACACGTGCCATGGAAGTAAAATAATTTTTTTTAAACAAATTCCCTCTAAAGCCATGCTTTTACAGTATTTATATTTCACCATAAATTTACAATAAATTTTTGAATCCCCATTTCCTGACAATTTAAGGTTACACTTTTGATTACTTTTGCTATAGCACAGTAGGTTAGAACAAATGATGGCTATGAGTTCTGACTTTAGTAGGGCTGCAACGATTCCTAAAGTGGCGATCCGATACACTGAACGATACTCGTTCAACGATACGATTTATTGCGATAATGAAGCGCTATTCTTTGATTAAAAGGGAAAGGAAAAGAAAACTGATAATATTTTAACACCGTTTAAATTATTTCGGCACGCTTAGAAGTACAAAATTCACTTTTCATCATTTGTTACACACAAGGACTAACAAATTTCTTCAAAAAAATAAATAAAATACCAAACCATCGAATACAACTTCGTGGAATTATTTTATGACTATGCAAACACATATTACGTTGGAAAAAGAAAAAGTTTATATCAGATCCCATGCGTTTATCTTTCACTTGGCATATTAATATGTTCTCTTTTCATCGTTTATAACAAAAATTACAAATGCTGAAGACAAATTAATACGTGAAAAGAAATTCTTAACATTTGAACATGACACAATTTCTAAATTACGTGAGGATTCCGTGCTATTAGTCATTAAAGGGAGTAAATTATATTTATGAGATGTATCGCGATTATTTTTTTCTTCTGCAATGCATCGATAAGAAGGAACGAATCGCGGTTCATCGATTCAACGGTGAATCGTTGCAGCCCTAGCCATCTTCACTCATAATTCCAGTTGACCCAGCTGTAAATGGGTACGGATAATCCGGGTGAGATCGATGCAAATATGTTTGGTCAAGTACTAGCTGGTAGAAAGGATATTTAACTGTGAACCTGAGTTGTTATCCTTGTAAAATCTAGTTATAGGGAATAATTTACGACGAAAAAGGAAAATTTTGCAAACTGCCCCTTTAAAGTAAATAAATCCATAATTGAGTTTTGTAAAGATTGAAACATTTAATATTATTCATGAAAGAAATGAAGAAATAGAGCCAACATAATGATTTAAGAGATATGGTTAAACATGGCAAGATAGACAAAATCAATATATATATATATATATTTATTTCACGAATGGTTACCGTTTACAAAACTCCAAATAACATATATACATCTACCAATCAACTTTATTGTAAATTGCATTTTTGTAACATTACATTTGATTGTGTCTCACAAATAGGATATGTGACTTTTACTCCCTTTTCCACTGTTCTCAGTCTGGACCAGGCCGCGATATAAAATGTGCCTATTTACATACAGTCAAGTGATTGAAAGAATTGGAAGGATTCTCAGAATACTCAACCGTTTACATTACACAAGATAGCTTGCCAGGCAAGGTAATATACGCCAACTGGCAGCTTTGATTTTAAATAAAAATACTTGGCAGTAAAGTAACCATTACTAGTATGAAATATTCAACCTTCAGTCTTACTCTTTTTTTGAACTTTTTGAGGCGATACTGAATAACATTACCAAGTTTCATCAAAATCTGTCAAAAATTTGACCTTCTAGAGTGTTTACAGGCTAAAACTTGAACTAAATATTTTTTGATTTTTCTGATTTTTAGTAGGGTTCTTCCTTGGGTGATTAAAAACAATCATACCAAGTTTCGTCAAAATCAGTCAAGTATTGTGTCTTCTAGAGAGCCATTGTTGACAGACAGACGAACCAACATGGGTAGCAACAATAAACTCCTCTCATTTCATGTGGGCGTATTATAATTCATCCGTTTCATTCTGAGAACAAATAAATTTGTAATGTAAAAAAGGTTTTAGACTGAATATGAAGTCTTTAAGGATTTTTCAATTCTTAACCATTTAGAATACTATAGTTGACCTTAAGAAAATAGGCAAGTAACTGTGTTATCAATGACAGCTTGCAATCAGCCTCCAGAGACTGGGAGTATAAATAAGGGGGGCAGACTGAGTTAATGGAGGTGAGGGACAACTGTCCAGGCTGAATTAAAAATGCAGTAACTCTGTGGAGTCATATAATCAAGGAGCGTTTGAGAGGGTTCTCCCACAAAAAATTGAATTGATTTGGTACATTCTGACAGTGACACATATCATTTGTTTGCAACTGGCAGCTTCTGAGAGAATCAGACCTAAGTGAACTGATGTGAATAACAGCTGCTTATGTTCTACTTATGTTTCTACTTATGTTCTGCAAAACTGGATCCTATTATGACCTGTTCGATGAAGTGCTTTGAATCTACAGTCAACCAAAGCCCAGATTTATATCATTAAAGTTAAATTTGAATATGTTTCTAGTTATGCTGTTATATTTCCTTTTTTTCAAATATGGTTTTGGAGATTAAACATGAATGACCTTTTCATGTAATTTTCCTCATGTCTTATTCAACACACATATTATGAAGTCAAGTAAAATACCAATACTTGTTAGTCACACTTAGACAATTGTGTTGCCAATCAATAAAATATATAAAAAATATAAAAAGATCACACGGAATACTATATCTATTAGTGCTGAGTATCGCCACTCATACCATACCACAATACAATATGTATCACAATACAAGGGTCATGATACGATCTGAATTGTGATACAAGCGTCATGATACAATCTATATTGCGATACAAGGGTCATGATACAATCTCTATTGCGATACAAGGGTCATGATACGATCTGATTTGTGATACAAGCGTCATGATACAATCTATATTGCGATACAAGGGTCATGATACAATCTATATTGCAATACAAGGAATATTATACGATCTGTATTGCGATACAAGGGTCACAATATGATCTGTATTGTGATACAAAGGTAATGATACAATCTGTATTGCGATAAAAGGGTAATGATACAATCTGTATTGCAATACAAGGGTCACAATATGATCTGCATTGCGACACAAGGGTCATGATACAATCTGTATTGCAATACAATGGTCATGATACGATCTGTATTGCGAAACAAGGGTCATGATACAATCTCTACTGCAATACAAGGGTCATGATACAATCTCTATTGCGATACAAGGGTCATGATACAATCTCTATTGCGATACAAGGGTCATGATACAATCTCTATTGCGATACAAGGGTCATGATACAATCTCTATTGCGATACACGGGTCATGATACAATCTCCATCGCGATACAAGGGTCATAATACAATTTCATTGCGATACAAGGGTCATGATACAATCGCTATTGTGATACAAGGGTCATGATACAATCTATTTGCGATACAAGGGTCATGATACAATTTCTATTGCGATACAAGGGTCATGATACAATCTCTATTGCGATACAAGGGTCATGATATAATCTATTTGCGATATAAGGATATAGGACAAAATTTAACACTTTATCCTCAAAGTTTCAATATATATATATATAACTTTTTAACAGTGATATTTGGTAATGTATTTGAGTGGTTAATGTTATCAATTTCAGTCAAGTCAGTGAGAACAATTTGTTATTCACCAACTTTTAAAAATCACCACTTTTTTAAGGAATGAGAGGTGTCTTAAAGTATCGGTAATCGACCTTGTGATACGATACGTGTATCTTGGCATGTTGTATTGCGATACATTGATTCACCGATATATTGTGCCAGCACTTATATCTATCTCACTACAACACAGACAGTAATGTTTAACAGTCTGTGTGTTTGTAAACCAATTCCCCCTTACTTACCGTTTATGATTGGTGTCTAGAGGTTTACTGTTTTTCTGCCATACATACAGTGTTTCTGGCACTGCTTCTATTTTACAGGCTAAATATGCCAGCCCACCTACACTGGCAGTTTGTGATTGTGGACGCTCTGTAAATTCTTTTGCTATTTCTGAAAATACAAACAAAATTGGAATAATTGGGTTATTTTCAAGATATAAAGTTGTCAAAATCTTTCCCAACTGAAAGAGCACAATTATTGTTATCTGTATCCCTTTTCAGAATCGAAATCATATGTCTAGTTTTCCTGCGATTGAAAAATGTTGTGGAAAGTTAGACAGTTTCATTATGTCTAAACCACACCCCCATTCGTGATTATTCCTCCAGACCGTGGTAACACAACTGAGATAAATTATGTATTCATAGCTAAATATTGTCCAAAGTGGCCCTACTGTATTGGTAGCAAATTTCAGCCAATCAAAACAAATAACTTGTTATACGTAAACATAGACAAAAACAAAAGCAGGGTGCCATTACATATTTTGATGAATTATGTATGGTACAGAATTGAGTAAGATTTTCCTTAAAGAATTGAAGCCGAGAGAAAATCAAACCTTACTTATCTTTTAAAACGGGCGGCGGCAAAACAGTGTTGTGTTTTGTTTACATGACCTCATTTCTGTTCAACCGATATGATTGGTCAGATGCCACCAATCTCATTTCCACGCCCCAAAACGAAGTGTAGTGGGCTTAGTTTAATACAAGTTAATAAGACCGTGTCAAAACCCGTATTCGTGATACAATGAGACAATTTATTCATTAGTAATATTCATATGGTAATATGTCCAATTTCATATTCAACTGAGTGATTAGTCAAGATAAATCCATTACCTTTCAGTGTTTATGTTATGGTACCTGGGTAGGGTTCAAATTCAAAATTCAGACGCAATTCAAAGTGTTCAAGTTGTAGATTTCACATCGATCGTAACATTGACATTATTTTCTTAAAGGGACAGATGGGCAATTTTTGGGGGGTTGATTTGAGTCTTGAATATATGTAAATAATCTTCAAAAGTACCAAAAATGTACGAAAATCACATAATTCCTTTAAAAAATCTTTTCTATATATCACAAAGTATCTCAAAATGATGACTAGTCTTTTTAACATCTGGACACACATGGATTTTAAGGCTAAAAAATTGATTTATTGAGGACTATGTTAACAATGGTATTTCTATATAGCTCTATAATTGATGTATTGAGTACTATTTTAACAGTGGTATTTCTATATTGCTCTACAATTGATGTATTGAGCACTATTTTAACAATGGTATTTTTATATAGCTCTTCAATTGATGTATTGAGCACTATTTTAACAATGGTATTTCTATATCACTCTACAATTTGATGTATTGAGCACTATTTTAACAGTGGTATTTCTATATAGCTCTACAATTGATGTATTGAATACTATTTTAACAATGGTATTTCTATGTAGCTCTACAATAGATGTATTGAGCACTATTTTAACAATGGTATTTCTATATCACTCTACAATTGATGTATTGAGCACTATTTTAACAATGGTATTTCGATAACGCTCTACAATTGAAGTATTGAGCACTATCTTTACAATGGTATTTCTATATCACTCTATAATTGATGGATTGAGCACTTTCTTAACAATGGTATTTCCATATCGCTCTACAATTTATGTATTGAGTACTATTTTAACAATGGTATTTCTATATCCCTCTACAATTGATGTATTGGGCATTATTTTAACAATGGTATTTCTATATAGCTCTACAACTGATATATTGAGCACTATTTTAACAATGATATTTCTATATCACTCTACAATTTTATTGATGTATTGAACATTATTTTAACAATGGTATTTCTATATCACTCTACAATTGATGTATTGAGCACTATTTTAACAATGATATTTCTATATCACTCTACAATTGATGTATTGGGCATTATTCTAACAATGATATTTCTATATCACTCTACAATTGATGTATTGAGCACTATTTTAACAATGATATTTCTATATCACTCTACAATTGATGTATTGGCACTATTTTAACAATGATATTTCTATATCACTCTACAATTGATGTATTGGGCATTATTTTAACAATGATATTTCTATATCACTCTACAATTGATGTATTGAGCACTATTTTAACAATGATATTTCTATATCACTCTACAATTGATGTATTGAGCACTATTTTAACAATGATATTTCTATATCACTCTACAATTGATGTATTGGGCATTATTTTAACAATGATATTTCTATATCACTCTACAATTGATGTATTGAGCACTATTTTAACAATGATATTTCTATATCACTCTACAATTGATGTATTGGGCATTATTTTAAAAATGATATTTCTATATCACTCTACAATTGATGTATTGAGCACTATTTTAACAATGGTATTTCTATATCACTCTACAATTGATGTATTGAGCACTATTTTAACAATGGTATTTCTATATCACTCTACAATTGATGTATTGAGCACTATTTTAACAATGATATTTCTATATCACTCTACAATTGATGTATTTGGCATTATTTTAACAATGGTATTTCTATATAGCTCTACAACTGATATATTGAGCACTATTTTAACAATGGTATTTCTATATCACTCTACAATTGATGTATTGAGCACTATTTTAACAGTGAAAATATTTTATTATTGACTATACTATTGTATTTAATATCTGAATATGAAGGTTAATGTCTTAAAAGGAATCAATGTTCAAAGTTGCATGTATTTACATGTAACATATTATAATAACAAAATCTACTGTATAGTGTTATTGATTCACTGAACACCTACTATATATGTGTTTAATAAATAAATATACAGATTCATGATAATATCTTAGACAATGTATTATATTGCATAAAAATTGATAACACTTTCTGATAACACATATTAGCTTTTGCCTTAAATTGTGTTAGTGTTAATTTTGTTACTTCATTACATCAAAGGAATAGGTGGGCCATTTTTCATGGTTGATTTGAGTCTTGAATATATGTAAATAGTCTTCAGAATTACTAGAAATGTATGTAAGATTTGAACGACACATAGAAGCGAGGAGCACATATAACAAAAACACAAGACGATGTTATGGAATATAACACACTTCTTTAATAAGGTTGGGCACATAACGTTTCAACACAATATACATGTGTCGTCATCAGATGTAAATTATTGTAATTTAACATTACGTGCCTAACCTTATTAAAGAAGTGTGTTATATTCCATAATATCGTCTTGTTTTTTTTGTTATAGAAATGTATGAACCAAAAAAACATTATGATCAAGTCTTGGAACTATCTTCTCAAGATCATTCTATCATGGGAAATTGAAAAATGGCACCGCAGGATTCTAACTCAATCATTATTATACTGGAATGGTATTTAACTCTAAATTATGGATAATTACTTGGCATTTTAGTTGTCACCATGTTTTTCTTTCTGAAATCCATGCAGACGCAGTTATAAAAATAACAGAGTAATTTAAGAGTTAATCAATTAACATCATTGAACTTGAGTTTACATAAAAACAATGATGCTTGGTGTTTATTAGGTGTGTTCTATTGTTCAACAAGATTGATTGAATGAATGAATGAATGAATGAATGAATGAATGAATGAATGAATGAATGAATGAATGAATGAATGAATGAATGAATGAACAAGAGAAATAGATAGATGAATAAGCAAATGAATGAATGAATGAATGAAAAAAGACAGAATGAATGAATGAAGGCAATAAAACAACCAAGATTCACAATCAAGTACAGCTGGGTCGACAGAAATAATGAGTGAAGATGATTTATTCAAGGTCATCAGACTTTCAAACCCACAGCCACCATGTGGTCGATGTAACCAGGAAAATGACGTCATGTTAAGAATTAATCAACACTTTAATTGGCTGTGCTATAGAACCTCACAGAAAAAAAATTAATTTAATGGAATTTTCAAACATATTACAGATTTGTCGACCCACAACCAAACAAATAAAATTCAAATTACACTCCTTTGTTGCGAAAGCAAAATATTCTTAGTCATCAAAACAAAATTTCCTTTCTTCAGAGTGAGCTTAAACTAATTTTGCATTCAAAAATATTAAAACAGAGCCTGAAACATGTAGTTACTCAGAGCACAGAGTGGTCATATATGTACATAATATGTAAAATGAATTCTCATTCTTGAAATTTCACTTTCTATTTCTATATGTCTTCTATATGAGGCAGTATCATCTTGAACACATAGATTTGAAAGCTCAAATTTCGCCAGTAGCCTGTGAACACTATTACTAATTAGCTTAACCTAATAATTCCTGTATCTGAGACTGCAATTATCCTAATATTCTTAACTCAGCTATAAAGATAATTGTTCCTTAATATTCTCATACTATGGTCAAAAATCTCAAAGGACAGAAAATTCATTTTGTATGACATGTGATGATTACTCCTGTCAAAACTGAAAACATATGAAAATGGATGCTCATAGCCCGACAAATCTGGCGCCTGGTGTACTTCTTCCTCGGACATGATTTACAAATGGGATATAGGCACATTTAAAGACAGACACAAAAAGTCACATTTTATGGGAACTCATTTTGAGAAGTTTCTCCATAACAATAGCAAACTTTGGCATATTTGGATCTTCTGTAATGTCGCTGAGCTCAATGCATATCCACAAAATAGTCAAGGGGTAGTCTCTCTTTGTACATCTCCATGAGTGTCTTGACTGTATTGTAGTACTGTGTCGGGCAGAGGGACATTTCAAAATATCCAGTAATGTCTTGATGGACTCATTGTGGTTCACCTTTCTGTACGTACAAAAAGTTTGGTCAAATTTTTCTGTGACCTTTTGTATCTGGCCCTAGATGTGCCAATATCCCAGGCCCAGATTTCGATTTGTAATGATAAGATACACTGTGATTTTGATAAAAAAAAAAGGAATCCAATCAAAGCCAAATTTAATCAAAATATTTGATAATGTAGTAATGCTTTTTCTGACCAAAGTTGATAGTCAACACCAAGTACTGAAATAAAAGTCTGGCACTACAGCACCTAATGGCCATTTTGGGAGAAATTAGTGATATATCCAATAAAACCTAAAGAGTTTCGTGGTTTGCTTAAAATAGAACTGTCTGAAAACATATGAACCAAAGTTGATAGAGATCTTCAAGTTTCAATGACTTCTAACTAATGACTGTGTCTGGTAGAATCTGATCAATGGTTGACTTTAGTCAACCTGAATTCACTGGCTAGTGAGTCACTGGGTTGGGGCCTCAGGACAGAAAAAAATTAAAAATTAATTCCACTGCCAAAATCAGACACAGTATCCTGATTTGTTGCACCAAGTAGAACAGGAGGCTGGCTAACGTAAGCAACTCTCTCTGACTTCAAGTTTGGCTACAGTAACAGTTTAGTGTCCGTTTGAGGCAGAAATGGTCAAAATCAGCAATTTTTTTCTTTCCTTCTTTGGAAATCGGAAATTTGATTCAAAGTTGTTTCCCTACAGTTGAAAAACTGAGCAAATATGCAAAGTTTTGGGGCATGTAATTTTGGAACCAGATAAACAGCATCCTGGTTTAGTGTGCCATGTAGAATCAAAGGCTACAAAAATTTGATCTGGAAAAATTTGAAATATTTTGGGAGACGAGCAGCTGCTAGTAATCAGTCAATCTTTCACTAATATCATTTCACTCCTGATAACTGCAAGAGATCAAAGCTTTTTACTAATGTGTTCAGGTCATCAAAAAAGGAAGAAGAGGTTTGAAACTGAGTCTTGAGTAAGAAAAAAAATGCAACCTAATTTAAAGGGATAGTTGCGCCATTTTTTTTTTTACCTATTATTCTTTAGTCTCAGAAACAGAAAAATTTTAGCTAAGCCAATCACTAATAGTTTTCACAGCTCAATGTCAAAATCTGAGCCTTCAAATCCATGTGTGTCCAGAATTATCCGTGTTTGAATGTTCAAATGACGAGTTGTAATTTTAAGATAAACTTTGATATATAGAAAATACATTATAGAAATAGGAAAAGAAATTTCTAGAATGGTATATTTTTGAAGGAATTATGTGATTTTTGTACATTTCTAGTACTTCTGAAGACTTTTTACATATACATGTATTCAAGATTCGAATCGACCTCCTAAAATGGTGCATTTGTCCCTTTAAGTGAAGAAAATCAAATTCTATGCATTACTTGGGCCTGCTAGTTTTTAAACAGATAATGTATTTACCAAGATAGTGTTGTATTATAATACATGTATCTGAACTAGCAATGTTTGAAAGTGTTATTTATGAATGTTTATGAACGTGGGTGGTGGCAGTATGTGTGGTATGTAAAGAAAAATCAATAAAGATCAGATTGAAAGAAAGAAACGTAAGAATTAATTCAAAATCTGATACAAAAAAGAACAGATCTGACAAGATTTGCTGTTTTTTAAATGTCAGATAAAATTAAAAATTTAATTTGCCTTTGGCGTAGTAAATATTAAAGTTTATAAACTATCATATCTAACTAGCAAGCAGAAGAGGAAAATTACTGAGCTTCATATTTTGTATATATGTGTGTTCTATCCTTGGCGGTCATTTAGTGTAGCAGGACCAAGGTTATGGAACAAGTTAAAAGTCTGTAAATCTGTTGACTCTTTTCAGAGAAAGTTAAAAACACTTCTTTAGCTAGTAAGATCTACTGTTTATAGATATTGAAATCTGTGTTTGTAAAGCGCCATTGAATGCTCAGGAAATCAAGACAAAAGAAAGGACAAGAAATGCTTGTCAACTTTCAGTTTATATTCTGAATAAACCCAGGCCCTTGTGTGCAACAGGTTATGCTGATTAAAGATTCCTGAAAACCTGATTAATTAAACAGAAACCAACAGTTAGCAGGATCAATTTGTTACCTCCAGTTCCAAACCACCATCTGTAGAGATGGCAATATTTGATATGTGCTTCCAAAAAAACAAAAAACCAAAACTCACTTATATCACTTATTGCAATATATTATGCTTTATCACCAAACATCCTTTGCGCTTAGTGAGATCACCAAACAATTAGTTTTAGTGGAATTACAGGAACCACAGATGTCTGATTAAAAATTGGAATGGTGCAAATTGATGCTATATGTGTCTCCGATACACATAAAAAATTTAGAAAACCTACAATCCCTTTAATTAGATGACCAAATCCCTTCATTGTAGTAGGAAATATAATTGTGCCTGCGGTAATGTCAAGGACAGTGGAAGCCATACCACTTTTTCTAAGAATCGGAAGTGTAAATTTAAGAAACAAAAATTTACTTACTTGCTACCTTTATATGAACCCTTCTGCCCAAAACAGTACCAACTGTATTTTTAGCGAAACATTCATAGAATCCATCATCAGATCGGAAATTGCCTTTCTCTTGATGAATAACCCGTCTAATATGTAATGATCCATTTCGTAATATCTCCACTCGCGAACGATGTTCTTTGTTCGTCAAACGAACTCCGTCTTTTTTCCAATAATACAACACTGGATCATGCTGTTTATTTGAGGTCACTGAACAGTTCACTAAAACACTAGATTTTTTAATTGCTATAATTGGGTCTTCTTCGTTTTCCCACACTATAATTCCTGGATCTAAATCATTTAACTGAGGTAGATTTGATGGTACACTTAACACTGAAATATATAAAGAAAAAATATCTAAATTCACTGAAGTTCTTAAAGGGACAGATGCGCCATTTTGGGGGTTGATTTGAGTCATGAATATATTGTAAATAGTCTTCAGAAGTACTAGAAATGTAAGAAAATCGATATATCACAGAGTATCTTAAATTGATTCATCATTTAAACATTCAAACACGGATAATTCTGGACACACATGGATTTGAAGGCTCAAATTTTAACGGTGAACTGATTAGCCTAGCTAAAAAATTCCTGTTTCTAGGACTAAAGTGTGATTGGTAAAAAAATGGCCAACCTGTTCTTTAACTATCTATACTTTGAGTATTACAAAATCAAAATGGCTATTAATTCCATGCTATATAATATAAAACACTAGTATGATCTTATTGTTTGATGTCACTTCCCCATTCTAATAAAGATTGAATCTTGATCCGTTAAATCTGCAACCACGCAGTTGTTCTCATTTTATTTTAATGTGCACAGCGTGTCGCACACAGAGCCTCGGTTTATTGTCCCATCTGAATGACTAGACTCTTTTTCCATGTCAACCCCGCTTACCTACATCACTCTCAGGCTCTGGGGAAAAGCGAGTTGAAAAATCTGGAGTTATTATCTCTACCTATGCCAAGATTGAACCATGGTCCTTCAGGTTAGTAATCGAGCAAGCGTCTATCTCACTGAGCCACTGCAGGGAGATTTTGTATTAATTTCAATGTGAAGAACTGAACTTATTATGCATACTATTATATAGAACCCCTATGATTTGAAATGTTTACATAAAAGAATGAAATATTGAGTTTTTAGTCACTGTTATTTTTACCAATCATACTTTAGTCTCAGAAACCGGAATTTCATAGCTAAGCTAATCTGTAATAGTGTGCACAAATCAGCATGGAAATATGAGCCTTCAAATCCATGTGTGTTGAAAATTATCCGTGATTGAATGTTAAATTGATGACTTAAGATACTGTGTGATATTAAGAAAAGACATTATAGAAATAGAGAGTAAAATTCCTAGTTTGAAGTATTTTTAAAGGGATTATGAGATTTTCATACATTTCTAGTACTTCCGAAGACTATTTACCCCAAAATTGCACACGTATCCCTTTAAAGGGGCATTATGATTTGTTTGTAGGTTGACAATTCTTTTGCTCAAATTTACACCCAAATCTAGAAAAATGTGTCTCTTTACTTAACACCGAAACTAGTTTAACATTTAATACATTCCCTAACACACTTTATCTAACCCTTTAAATACAAATTCAATTTGATCAAGAAGATATATATAGATATAAGTAGCATACTTTAAATATATTTTCTGATATTATTTACGACGTTTTTTGATACTGCCTCTTTGATTTGAGCACATTCAGTTACGATCCAAAGAAAATATATGAACAGTTATTTTCAAGCAGTTTAGTTTGTATGTAAAAAGAAAAAGAAGACAGTCTGATTAAAATTAGACCAAACTAGCATTCCATTTTTTACATAGCTTTTTCTATGTTACCACTCTAGTTAGGGTCTAAAGACACCGCTCAACATTCATCTGTTTGACGACACAGCCAGCCAATAAAATTTCTTCCCTCTCCAATGCTGGAATTAAGTGACGTGCACAAAAGGTGAATTCCAATTAGCATTACACTAGTTTATCAAGTTCACTATTTACGTTTTATTGAGTGTTCATAATTGACCAAGTTAAATTTGATTGGTTAAAGTAGAGGTCACTAGGTTAGGTCAAAGAAACGAGAGCAGTGTCTTTAGACTCTAACTGGAGTGGCTATATAAAAGTTACAGCTACAGAACGAAAGTTTGGTCTGATTTTAATTAGGCTGATAGGTGGAATGTTTATCTAAATCATCATCTTACTGTCTTTCCTCTCGATAATCAAATTTTACCAATTATATTTGAGTGAAATAGAATATCAATTTCAAAACAATATTGACAGTCTTAGAATTACTTTGCCTTGATCAAAATCAGTGACAGCCTCTTGAGACTGGGATTACAAATAGCAGACATACTAACTATGTTTTTTAAAAAATATAATTGATGTTGGACACATTTTTGGGGCAAAAATTGTACTAAAGATGATATTTTCAAATTTGTTAGATATAAAATTTGGGTACAATTGGGGTACAAACCAAGGCCCCCACTCCCATACCTTTACCCCCACTGTTGCCGCCATGCATCAAAAAAAATTTAAGTGTTACACCATTCACTCCAAGAAAGTTCAATTACAAATACCCTAAAATTTTGGCTGAAAATTCTGTAATAACAAATTTAAAAGTGATGATAAGTGCCTAAAAATTTAGATTTATCAAAGCAAATCAATCTCAGAAATAAGACAATATTTTGAAGTTTATTTTCTAAAATAATTGGTAAAATTTGAGTTGTCAAAAACAGAACAAAGACAGACGACATATTCATAATAATACGTCTTTCACAACTGAGTTATTCATAACTTTTCATCTGCTGCACAGTGAACTTTTTATTCACAATTTGACCTAAATTTCAAATAATTTCATTCATGCACAAACTTACATTATGCATTAATGCATGACATCTGTTTTTAAAATCTTCTTAAAAAGAGATCATAAAACTTAAATAGACACAAACACGCCCGCCAAATTACTTTCTTAAAATAACCATAGTAAAGATATCTAGAGACATTAATACTAGCGCCACAATGGTACCAATAATCATTAGAATTCTAAAATATCAATAGACAATATGTTTCATTACTGATTTCTTTTTTTAGAGAGTACAAGCGTTACATTATTATCCTCGCATAAGAATAGGTTTAAATTGATCTGCAGATATCAACTTGGATTAGACAAAGCCCTAGTATTTAAAATGTTTCCAAAACCAAGCCTATGAAAGCCAAAGACATCATGCTCGGCTGTTACAATTATTTTTGTAATTTTAAGGTATTTTGTATGTTTCACTGCCAAGCTTTTACAAATTTTGGAAACAGACGCCATGAAGTTTTTCACTGATTTCTTGTATTTCAAAGGTTACAGTTTTGCCAATTTTTAGAAATGAACCACCCCGATTTAACACACCTAGTAGCATACCTCCAGCCAATCAAATTTCTCTCTCTCCAGTGCTCAGATTATTAGACTAGTTTATCAAGTCCACTGGTACTGAACATTGTTGAAAAACGCTTTTTTAATGGTTATTTTGAATTAGCCCAGTAAAATTTGATTGGATAATGCAGATGTCATTGGGTTAGGTCAAGGTTAGGTGATACAAAGAAACAAGAGTGCAGATTTTTAGACCCTAACTGGTGTGGCTAAGTAAAAATAAAAGGTAGAATTAGTGTTGAAACGGTTAATCGGTTAACCTATTTCTGGTAGTATTTCACGGGTAACCACGGCTGATTTGAGATAATCGGTTAACCATTAATTTTATAAGAAGTAAAAAGAGAGCAATTTTGACAGAAAATTCGTTACTGTATGAGTCTTTAAGCTGTTTTCTTTAGTAAATAAACATCTTTATTGATTGAATAATTGAGATCAATAAATCAAGACACTAACGAGTTGCAAGAATTGTGGTCAAGATTATCAAGCCTCTTTTTAATATAAGTTCAACTAATTACTCGTTCTGGATAATCGGTTCACGATGGTCTTAGTCGCTGTGTGCACTGTTATGTTATTAAGTTAAACAAATAAGCACTGTAATCATTATCAGACGTTCGGCACGCGCCACGGTTCGTTGAATCTTGTTATTATTTTTATTGTATTGCGGAATTTAACACAGTGTTTTTTCAGCATGTTCTAGTGTTTTAATAAGTTTTGTTATTAATTTTGTACCAACAATTCGCAGGGAACTAGCCAAAATCTTCCTGGGTACTCATTTACACTTACTCTAGTTTAGTTAACGATGAGTTACCCCCGTAAATGCAGTTTTTGACTCCTTTTAAAATCTTTAGTAATTGACCGGGATTAACCGGGCAACAAACGGTTATTGCCGACGATTACCCGGTTCATAAAATTCACTAACCAGGTAGAATTCACACTAGGTAGAATCGTTCAATTGGTTGTATCTCATGATTTTTACCATTGTGATAGTGGTGTCGCGCGAAGCAGGCCATGCTTTATCTTTTTGAAACACCTCATGGTATTTCTCTTTGGAGGAGTCCACTACTACAGTACTTATGCTCTCGATTTTGCCTTACTTTGGACAAGATTTTGATTAACAGAATTGTCTTTTTTATACTTACAGAATCAATGGATATCATAAAAGAAATGTAATGTTCTTTGATAATACAAACATAGTCCTGCTCAATTGATGTTTAGGATAAAATGCAAAATAAAATGTTTAAAGACCTTTGTGTTTGAATTTGTTTTAATAAATTAAAAAAAAAAATTCATTTATCCTCCTACCAAAGCTGTCTCGCAGCCTACATCTTTTACTAAAATAGATAATCTATCAATCTGTTGCTAAGCACCGATAAAAGATCTTTTGTATTGAAGACCCGTATACACACACAACATTTTTGGTAACATTTTGTGCTCAGTAACAGTGGTTGCGCCAATGGGGCGCACAGGGGGGGGGCATTTGAAAAACTCTCAATTGCACCCCCACTTTATTTTCGACAAATTAAAAAATACGATTTTTGTTTTTGCCATAAGATATGTGTCAGAATGCACCAATTCTATCCAATTTTTCTCTTTCAGACGCTCCATTAGACACTTCCTCAGAGTTGCTGTAATTTGAATTCAGTCTCAACAGTTGTCCCCTATTGAGTCAGTCTGCCCTCTATTTGTACCGCCAATTTCAGGAGACTGGCGCTGCCACTGCTCAGCAACTCACATGGGCAATATATTTATATACAGCAACAGTTCGATAACATGTTGCTGCAAGTTTCTGAGAAATTGTGGATTTGGGAAGAAAATTCATTATGTAATGCAAGATTCAAAGAGAATTTTAAGAATCTTGATTGAAAAACAGCAAAGAATGCGTAAACCAGAGAAGAGATTGTGGACAAGGATGGATAGTACTTGAGAGACCCAGGTCTACTACTGAAGGAGTTGTGATTGGGGAACAACCCCTCATACCAGACTATTGTCAGAATGGATAAACATAAGCATTTGAGAAACTCCTAGAAAGTCGGGCCTCTCTTAGCAAGGCAATACACCAACCTGAGAGATTCCATTTTGTTTACATCACATGGATTCACCTAGATCCTGTGATTTATAGTCCATTTCTGATTGGATTAAACTTGGTGACACAATTTACATATCGGCAACAGAAATAATCTTGCATTTATTTCAGCAACATGATTTAGAACTGCATATAACAACTTTTTTGCAAACATGGCATCTTCACAACATGTTGCGTATCTTGTTAACGAAAATGTTATTAGTCTGTTCAGTACTTTAGGTATTAAAATATTTCTCTTTCTTTCAAACATTTGTTACCTACTTTTTTTTTATTTCTAAATAGTGTGCAAAAGTCAAAGTTGAATCACCTTAGGTCTATTTGTTAAACTTTCGCCTTTTGTCAAACCTTTTCTGTTCTCTTAACCTAGAGAGTGTTTTAAATTCTTCTCACAACATTTATGATAGTGTTGAAGGATACACATAAAAATCTAAATAAATAAAATGAATATTTACACTGGGTCTATAACCTTGACACATGTTCAATTTTAAAGCGAGAATTGGAATGCCCTATTTCCCTCTCAAATTTTGGCAAAATAATAAAATTTCAACAGCTGGAAATTTCACAACAAAAATCTCTTAGTTACCAATTTTTTTTTAGGAAATGAAATGAATTTTACATCCTACATAAAGATCGGCCATGCAGTGTGCAATAAGGGAAATCAGTAAAGCGGTATAAGCCTTATCCTTTTCAATTCGATTTCAATTTTTCAACTGTTGACAGATCTGTAGCACACAAGGCCTCAATTTTCCCATTCCAGTGATGAAACGCTATCTCCATGTCAGCCCCTCAGACCTAAATCACTGACAGGGGAAACCTGGTTGAAAAATGCAAAGGTAGTATCTCAACCTTTGCCCGGATTGAACCCTGGGTCTTCAGGTTAACGTGCAAGGGTTTAACTTACTGAGCCATCAGAGCAAGAAGGGACACACAGTAAAAATACAGCACTATGCATCTTGTAGCCCCTACTGACAATTTCATAATCACAAAATCAATAAAAAATTAAGAAAAAACATGAAAAGCCAATTTTTACTAAGAACATAATAACTGAAATAACAAATACTTCAATGATACCAGTATATCTACAATATAGACCTTATCTTTTAACCTTCATTCACAGTCCATGTCTTTTAGTGCTTGTGTCAGTGATATCATTTGTTAAAATGGTTGCCTTAATCTTTAAAATATGCAGGCTCTGAAGAAATGTCTGATGTCATCAAATGGTAGGTGCCCAATCTTAATTGGGAAAACAGTACATTCTTAATTATCTGTGCCTGCCATCCTATTATTTTGTTTTCTTTCATTTTTGACTGAAAATTGAGGTATCCAAGAATAGTTTGCTTGCTAAACTGAAGATCCAGGGTTCAATCCCTGCATAGGTTAAGACAATACCTTCTGATTTTTCAACCCGGTTTCCCCCAGTCAGTGATGCAGGTAAGAGGGGCTGGCTTGGAAAAAGCATGTAGTCGTACGGATGGGTTCAATAAACCGAGGCTACAGGCTGTGCATGTTAAAGATCCCTCGACAGTTGGAAATTGAAAAAGAGCAGGCTAATGTCGCTGTCCTGCCAAAATTTCCCACATTGCACCCTGTGAACACTATAACTGATTAGCTTAGCTGAGCAATTCATGTTTCTGAGACTAAGGTACGATTAACCTTAGAAAATGGTGGACTATGGCCTATGATAAATTGCAAGCCTCCTTGGAAGAACTCCATGTATTCAAATTAGCTGATTTAAACATCAAATTTGAAATGTGAGTGCTCTTTGCAGTGAAAGAAATTTGCTCAAAACTGTCCAAACTTTGAATGGCAAGAGGCAAACCTCACCTACCATATTTTAGAATAAATAACTTTTATCAACATGAAACCATATTGAGAGAAAAATTGAAAAAAAAAAATATATAATTCATAAAAATGTGGTGAACATAGATGTAAAGACCCATATGATTTCAAATAATGAAATTTCATGAAAATTTAATCAAGATATTTTCAAAGATATTTTAAAGATATTACTTATTTCTAATTACAGTTTTGATCTTGAAAGAGTTTTTTATCTTTATTACATCTTTAGTTTTTATCTTTTAATTCAAAGTTCAAAATTACAGTTTTTAAATGGCAGTGTTTAATTCAATTTTTCTGCTATTAAATTCAGGGTGGGCAAAGTTATTCTTTAAAGTGATACTACATCTTAGAATGAAGATAAAATTTAAGTTCTCAAGAATGGTCAATATGAGTATATATTCATCAGTTAACATACCTGGTGTCATAAAGTCACAACAGAATCCCTGGAAAACTTATAGAACTAAATAATTATTGACAAATGCTTAATCTTAATATTAAGCGTTTTTTTGTTGTTTTTTTTTTTATAGTTAATTGCATTTTTAAGGATAATTACTAAGTTTTTTTGATTTATTGGATTATATAAGGATCCTGTTATGTTATTTATGACATCAGGTGTATCTACTGATGAATATAACAGCTGATAAAGCTTAATCAAAGTGATATAATCAGTTTCTGTCTTAAACAGCTAATAAAGCTTAATCAAAGTGATATAATCAGTTTCTGTCTTAAACAGCTGATAAAGCTTAATCAAAGTGATGTAATCATTCTTTGCCTTAAACAGCTGATAGAACTTAATCAAAATGATATAATCATTTTCTGTCTTAAACAGCTGATAGAGCTTAATCTTCTTCGACAACTTATAGATCTTAAACAGCTGATATGAATTAATCAAAGAGATACAGAGCTATAAACAGCTGATATAAATTAATCAAAGGGTTACAGAGCTATAAACAGCTGAAAAGATATAAGTTAATCAAAAGGTTACAGAGCTATAAACAGCTGATATAAGTTAATCAAAGGGTTACAAAGCTATAAACAGCTGATATAAGTTTATCAAAGGGTTACATAACTATAAACAGCTGATATAATTCAAAGGATATAGTGCTATAAACAGCTGTTATAAGTTAATCAAAGGGTTACAGAGCTATAAACAGCTGATATAAGTTAATCAAATGGTCACATAGCTATAAACAGCTGATATAAGTTAATCAAAGGGTTACAGAGCTATAAACAGCTGATATAATTTAATCAAGGGATATAGTGCTATAATCACTATCTGTCTTAAACAGCTGATAGAACTTGAATGGATATAGTGCTGATATAGACAGAAACTTGTGAAGATATTACCAATGTTACTTCATCAGCCATTACTGCTTAAACAGCCTGGCAGCTCCAGTCTGATCCACAGATAAGAAGATTTTCTTGCAATTTTGAACAGTAGTGTCTTGCAACTTAACAAAGAGTAACCAGCCATTTTAATGCCAATGTTTTCAATTTTCAAGGGTTGATTTGGGTCTTGAATATATTATGTAAATAGTCTTCAGAAGTACAAGAACTACACAAAAATTGTATAATCCTTTCAAATATACCTAGAAATTTCACTTTATATTCCTTTTGTCTTTTTCTATATCATGGCAGTTTTTCAAGAAAAGACGAGTCCTCATTTTAATTTTCAAATGTGGGGACATGTGGATTTGAAGCCTCAAATTTCGATGGTCAAATGTGTACACGATTACTGATTGGCTTAGCTAAAAAAATTCCAGCTTCTGAGACTACATTGATATCATGATATTGGTGATAATTGAAAATTGAACAATCCAAGTTTTTTGTTAAAGTTTAAGTGTACTGGACATTAGATTTTAATTTTGAAAAGGGATACGGATAGCATTTAACTTTATCAGATATTAAATAGACTATTTAAGCAATTATATTCAGAGAGAGCCCTTGCACCTTAAATAAAGTTTAATAATATAAAAAATTACAATCCAAAGGAGACAACAGAATGCAACAGATCAATTTGATTCATATTTTTTCTTTATTTCAACTTCTGTAGATGCTTGAAAAAATAAACTTCGCGCTGAGTTAAAATTTTTCTGAACATTATTTCGACAAATTTTTATATTTCACATTATAGGTTTCTATTTGGAAAACCCAGGCAAGTAACTTAATGTTGCAGTTAAATTAGAAGTTAAAAATGAATGGATCTATCACTTTTTCGAAATACTTTTTGCCTTTTAAAAATGCATATTTATTTATCTTTTGTAGTCCTATGTTTATAACTACCCTGTGTTTATAAGCATCCTATGTTTATAAGTATCCTATGTTTACAAGTATCATGTTTACAAGTATGCTATGTTTATATATGTTTATAAGTATTCTATGTTTATATATGTTTGTAATTATCCTATGTTAATAAGTATCCTATGTTTATAATTATCCTTTGATAATAACTAACCTATGTTATAAATATCCTATATTTATAATTATCCCATGTTTTTTACCCTATGTTTTATAACTATCCTTATAACTAACCTATGTTTATAAGTTTGCTAAGTTTATAACTATCATATGCTTATAATTATCCTTATAACTATCTTATGTTTATAATTATCCTATGTTAATAACTACCCTGTTTTATGACAATCCCACCCTTATAACTATCCTATATTCATAACTACCCTATGTTTATATCCATGTTTATAATCTATTCTATATTTATAACTATCCTATGTTTATAACAAAGTATCTTATACCTATGCCATGTGTTTATATCTATCCTATGTTTATATCAATCCTATGTTTATAATTATATTATCAATTTATATTATTGTAACAAGTCATTATTGATATGTTTAACAGCTATTAATAATCCATCACAAAATACAGTGTGCTACTTTGTTTTAAATATATTCACTGTAAAATACAACCGTTAAGAAAACAAGAAGCTTTCACCAAATATATTTTAGGATATTATAAAAAAGGGCGACCGATTTTCCCGTGCGATATGCTTGAGTTTGGGTTTGTATACACAAGCAACATGTTAACCGTTACTGCATAATAGCGATTGTTGTATATATATAATTGAGTGTTAGGTAATAGTGGATAACAACCACTCAAAATGGCCGTTTGATTAACCCTCTCTTCACTTCATTTAACTCTCGTATCAATCAAAAACTCGGCTTTATAAATCTCAAACCATATAAAATGGACATTAGGGTAAAAGATTTTTAGAGGAGAATGTCTTTAGTTCAACACATTTGACCTAAATACTGTAGTGCGCCATCTTGGTGTTACCTCATAGGTCGTTCAAAATAGCATTTTTATATGAACGTTGTTTTTAAAAATGTTTAAACGTTTTCAACTTACCTCGATTGAAATTGGTGATTAATATGAAAATCAAGGCGATATAACACCGATATAAATCAATATGCGCCATCTATTTTGTGATAACATGTATGCAATAGGAGCACATAATGCACTGCAGTATTTTCCGCGAGTTGCTATTACACTGTATGACGTATTCACTCATATGCAAACCGACTTGTTCAAATAAACCAAGAGAGCAGGCGTGTTCAGTTATTTAACGGCACTTTTCCCATGTTATAATAGCTACCACTGGATACAACATGTACAATGGCATTTATTACATTTATGGATGGAAAAATCTTACTACTGATCAAAATTCATTCGTGATTATATTATAATAGAGCGTCTGGAGTCTAAAAATAAATAATAGTTATGTCATCGATTTTTTACTTTTGGGCACAGACAGGGAATTAATTGGTTTAAGTGATCGTTTGGACTATTGGCCTAATTTCTTCTCTTGGTTTAGATAATGATCTTTTTCTTCTTGAATAGTAGAGAGTCAAAATAAAGAAAGCTCCGAATCATAAAATTATTTCAAGTTATAGGCTACGTAAACAGTTTGTCTACAGTTTGACCTCGAATTCCTGATAACTTCAATAGATAATTGCCAGAAATCATTTCAAAGGAATTTGCGTGGAATGAAAATCGATTAAATGGGTTCGAATTTCAATATTGAAGTCTTGGTCTAGATTTATCCTTTACATTTCTGCAGTTATATTTTTATATTCGACTATTAATACTTTTAGACCAATTAAACATGCATTGCATTATAGTCGGTCTGAATTGCGTAGTTTACATTTCTTTTGCCTTTTGCGCAATTGGTATTTTCATACTAATAAAACTTCCTTTGTGTCTTGTTTCTTAAAAATATAACTAGAAAAGTATCGGTGTCCTTGAGAATCAAAGAATTCTCAAATATCAAAAAAAGATCTGACGTCACTATTCCCGAATGAGCCAATTACAGGCTAACCTTGAGAATCTGAAACGTTAATAATTTTACAAATACAGCTACAGCTACAAATCTGCATTTTATGTGGATAAAACACGCTTATTTCTGAAGTCCAATAGGCCTAGTATGAAATATAGGACATTCGCGCTGATACTATTACTAATTTTGTTTGTTATGATCGATAATTGACTTCCTTAACTTGGTACTTAAAAAATCATTCACTCATGTCGCTAAGATATTTGTGGATAGAGAGGGGGGTTGGGAGGGGAGGGGGGCGTTGGAATCATTAATTTTTATTGGGAACGAATAGGCTATATAGGCCTATAGTAAAACTCTTTATGATGAAAATTATGAGAGCATATTCCAGTCCCGTAGCTATATTAGAAGGCAAAGAAGGGTATTGCCAAAATGGACACCCCCCCACCCCCCATAATAAAATTCTGACAATCGATCAACTCCATTTCTGTAACTAAACAAGCAAACACCATTGCCCCACCATTGGGTATTATATCACTTGCTACGCCGCCTGCGGGCCTGTGTCGTTCTTTATGACTGTCACGTTTAGCCCATTTCTTCAGGACTCTTTTTTTATAAAGGTTGTGGAAACATGTACCCTTGATGCACCGTTTTCTGAACTTCAACAATTCTGATTGCGCATTTTTGTTATATTTAGTAGCCAAAGGGCGACAACTCAAATTAGTTGTTGTCTGTCTTCTGTTATATCAACATTTTTGTTGTCTTAGAATAATCATTAACCAAAAGAGTTTCTTCCCTTTAATCATAGTTATCAATTTTTGGATCTTGCATTTACTACAGTAATGGGCTGAACATTGGGTAAAATAGCTCTTCGCTGATCGTCAAAAGATGACCCTGGATTCGCCATTTTTGGGGGTTGAATATATTTAGTAAGTCTTCAGAAGTACTAGAACAGTTTACAATTCGCATGATTTCATCAAAAATATCTCAAACTAGAACCTTCACTATATATATAATTATGTCTTTCTATATGACAGAATCTAAAAAAAAAAGACGAGTCGTGTTTCAACTTTCAAATGGATTTAAAGGCTCAAATTTCGATAGTGATGTGTGAAGACTATTACTGATTAGCTTAGCTAAAAAAAATCTAAGGTCCGATTTGTCTAAGGAATGGTGAATCTATCCTTTTTAAACAACGCGAAAAAGATAACAGGGATAATCTAAGAGAAAATCACGAAAAAGGATATAAAGGAGAAGAAGGTTATGCCATCGATCACATGCCATCGATCAAGGATTAATTTATAAAACTTGGAAAATGAGTCAATTTTTATCAGTGGACAAGCTGGTGACTTAATTAAGTATCCATAAACATTATCTTAAGCGTATTTTAAACAAAATTAAATTGACTTTTTTGCATTTACAGGGATTCCATTTAATAGTTATTTTGAAAATAATAATAGCCTATAAATAATCTTATTGGCTAAGTTTCAGAATATTTATTTTAAGAGGTAATATTCCTTTAAGTATTATTAGGTGTATTGATGAAAAATTATTATGACATAGATCACAATAAGTTTTTTTTGTATTAACAGTAAACACCAAACATCGTTTCAAGTTATTATTTCCTATTGAAGGAAATCGTTCTCACTTATATCTACAAAAATCGATACAGGCTGGTACAGGATAGAGATACGTAAAGTTTGGCTCATGAGATCCGAGGAGTTCCTTACTACGGTTGAGAAGGAAATGAAAAGGAAATCTTAAATCCTACGTTTTTGCACCTAAGATTGGGCAACGCCATGCATTGTGCAATGGATGCAATTTTTCCAATTGTCAAGCCTGAAGAGCAACTCACGGAGCCTAGGTTTCTAGATTTCATCTTTGGCTATTATAAGCGGTAACCACACTTGATTGTTCAGGCATTCCATTTTTCGGGAAGCATTGCAAAGAAAACGACCCCACCAAGGATTTGGGATCCTACCCAAAATGACTCCAATCGGCCTGTAAATAAGCCGATATCATAATCTGGTTCTTGCATCGCTTCCCTTTAAATGCTCAATCACGTGACAAGGGAAATCTAAACATGGCGCAGGACAGTAAACCACGCGTATTAGTACTGGGAGGTATGTATGATATTTTCTCTATGTCAGTCTCTCATTTTAATTTAAACAATGGAATTTGTCGTTTTAGTATTCATTGATGACATTGATACCGAAATAATTTCTGTTCTGCGCTCATCTCTCTTGTGTTGTCTTCATAAAGAAAATAAATGAATCACATTATTTTTTATGGTTTTGTTGACATTGACTTGACTGATCAATCATCCAAATTAATCACTGTTAAGATTTTGATTGATTCAGAAATAATTTCAACTTTGAATCATAGTTGGACGCATCATGTATTTTCTTTAAGTTTTTGTTTTTAAAGCTTGAATTATACATCGCCAAATATTGTAAATGAATGCATAGGCGTAGCTTGTTGGCAATAATTTTGTGTAGGCTAATTCAAATTGTTGTAATGTGGAACAGTGTCAGAGGAACTTAATATTTCATTTAGGCCTGATATTAAAAAGTGAAAAATGTTTTGTTCCTTTGTGAGGTGTTACGAAAACCTTCTTGGGATGAAAGATTAAAAATACTTTTGATGTGCATGATCATATCTTATGTTGGGATCAAATTAAAGATTTTACTTTGAGACACATTTTTGTATGAATTGAAATGTTAATCTCCAAATATTACTGAGAGTCTTAGTTTGTCTTTGGGTTGATCAAAATGCCAACCATTGAAAACAAAATTATTTGAAACTATGATTTTACAGAGGGAGATTTTCTGTTAAAAATGTTTCAATTTTCACATGAAATTTCTTGGAGAGAAGTGTGTTCATTTCAAGTGCAAAATTTTCAAAACTTATATATTCATGGACCCAAAGGCAATTTAAGACAATTGGTATACACTTGAAAATCATATTTTGAATATTTGTGACATGAGAGAAAAGTTCAATTTAGAACTCAATGTAGCCAGAGAATAGCTAGTACCACATGTAAAAGTAGATACATGTATAAAATGTAATTTGCAGTATTATTGTAAATGATAAATTTGTTATTTGACTAAGATTATGTCTGAATTAAACCTTTTCCTGGTTCATGAAATTTTACTTACAGATGGAATTTGAAATAGGCCTAGGCGTAGTGTATTTTCAAAATTTCTACCATGATTGCACACTGCATTGCAGTGTCTGTTTTAAGTTTTCGGCTGGAGATGACAATATTGTCAGGGGTGAGACATAGTATTTTAGGATCTTCAGCACAGAGATAACAAAAAAAATCCAAGGGGTTTCATGTTTGCTGTTGTTTAAATTCATTCTGAAGATGATATGGTTGTGTGTCAAACATTCAATGGCTTGTTTATTGACCTTGTTGCCATATTATATTACAATAATCCTTTAGCGATCCTATATTACAATAGTTTCCAGAATATGACAGTACTAATTAAGTTCATTTCTGTTAAGCCTCTTAGAAAGGGATTAGATTCTTTGTAAGGTAACAGAATCAATTTTTATTTACAGGTACTGGATTTGTTGGTAGGAATTTTGTGCACTATCTACTGGAAAATGATTTGGTGTCAAAGGTAATATAAACTTATGTTTTTATAAATGTGTCAGACTATAAAGTTAGGAAGTACCACTAGCTTGATCCTGGAGAAACTAGCATCATTAGCTAGCACCAACTGATCCATTGATCTGAATTCATCTACAACTAGGCCTACAACGTAAAAATGGCAGTTCTTATCGGTCTCTCAATGATTGTTAAGCTAATCCTCTTCTTTTTTTTGTATTCAAAAACTTAGAGATGAAAGCATATTATTTTCCTTAGAAGGGATACATTAATGGCTGATGGCCTCTAGCCAAATTAACAAGTGGCTATATGGCTAGATTCAATATTAATATTCATGTTGTTGACAGCTGGCCTAGTTATTGTTTACTATCAATATGGTATTGTATAGGAATTCTGACCTCACATAATATTACTGTGACATATTCTATTATTGTTGCCACCTGTACCATTGTTTATATTCTTATGTTCAGAACTTACAGAACTTTGTAAAGATATATATGCACAAATTAGATGTTAAGAATTCTTTTCCCATTTCTTACCCTATAACACTGTTCTTGGTATTAAAGGGATAGGTGCGCCATTTGTTTGACCAATCAAAACTTTGTCTTAGAAATGGGAATTTTGTAACTAAGAACACTGTCGAAATTTGGCCTTCAAATCCATGTGTGTCCAGAATTATCCTTGTTTTAAAGTGAGAACTCTTCAACTTAAGATACTCTGTGATATATAGTAAAATTTCTAGTTTGAAGTATTTTTAAAGGAATTATATGATCTTCGTACATTTCTAGTACCAATATTCTGAAGACTTTTTACATATATTCAAGACTAAAATCAACCCTCCAATATGGAGATGGCAAAATTCTTTCAAGTTAAAATTGAAGTAAAAAACTATCATAAAGAACATATAAAGAATTAGTAGCTTTTTTGAATCATACCATTCTATCAGATGTCTGTAGTTTTTCACAGTATAGGGCAGTAGTAAAAATTGCTACAAATATAGACTGGTTTATAAATAAGAGCTGCATTATAAATGCTTGATTTTAATGGAATTTTGGGATAGGTCAACCCTCCGTTTGAGCAATTGTACCTTAATTTCAGAAACAGGAATTTTTTAGCTAAGCTAATCAATAATAGTGTTCACAGCTCACCGTCTAAATTTTAGCCTTCACATCTATGTATGTCCAGAATTATCCGCATTTGACAGTTAAAATGACGACTCATCTTTCTTTAAGACTTTCCCAAAGTGAAATTTCTAATTTGAAATTTATTTGAAAGGATTAGGTGTTTTTTTGGTACTTCTGAAGACTATTTACATAATATTCAAGACCCAAATCAATCCCTGAAAATGACGCAATTGGCCTTTAACATTGATTCAAGCTGATGGAGATAGTCAGTATAAGGATTAGTACAAATTGTATTATTGAGTTATGAATAGTAATAAAACAATAAATAAAGGTACTATATAAGCTTATTAGATTATGATATTATGTAAATATTTATTTGGTAGATTAGAGTTGTTGACAAAGTTCCACCTCAAATGGCCTGGTTAAATCAACAACACAGGGTAAGTTTATATAATTTACATTGTAAACAAATTATTGATGTCTTGCCTAGCCTAGATAGTATCATATCTCAATTACTAGTGTCACTAGGAAAATACTAAGTAATGATAAGACAACATTTTTTTATATAAAGCTTATAAAATATATATATATTTTCTCTCATGTATTTCTTGCTGTAAGCTTTCATAAACTGAAAATGAAGATCAAGTTGAAGTTCAAAGCGTTTTCTGAAAATTTTCTTTTGTCCCCTGTAACTTTGTACAATGAAACCGTTCCATTTTTTTTCATCCGATTTTCATGAAACTTGGTATGATCAAAAACTGAGTTTGGGCAATTTGTAATTTCTAATTTTAACCTCTTTGTTTATTCCCCTTATTTCAAATATAGTGAAAATACAACATTAGTTCCTTAAGTTTATTTTTTATAGCTGTATGATCAAAAAATGAACCCTGTTGTTAAAGGCTATGATCAAACTGTGAAGGTTAAGTGAGAACTTTTGCAAATAATTTGACTTGCACCGTTGTAGGGTACTGGCATATTTCTTCATCTATTAGCACCTGTAAAAAGTGATATTTTTTTTTGAAGGAAAGTTTTACCAGTCCTCTAATTGAGTTTAAACATGGTAATTTGATCAATCCAGGTAAGCAATAGCTTGGAATATCCCCTGAATTTGGTTTTGAAAATACATTTTTTATCTCATCTCAACAACAAATATTGAAATGTGATGATTCCCCTCATGAATCTGAAAATTCTATAAAAACATGTATCAACATAGAAAAATGTATCAAGACATGTATCAACATAGAATAATGTATCAAAACATGTATCAACATAGAAAAATGCATAACCATAGAAACATGTGTAATAAAACATGTATCAACACAGAAACATGTATTGAAAAATGCATAACCATAGAAACATGTATTGAAAAATGCATCACCATAGAAACATGTATCATAACAAGTATCAACATAGTATAGAAATATGCATTGAAACATGTATCACTATCAGCATAGAAACATGTATCACAATCAGCTTGGAAACATGTATCACCATCAGCGTGGAAACATGTATCACTATCAATATAGAAACGTATCTATATCAGCATAGAAACATGTATCGCTATCAGCATAGAAACATGTATCACTATCAGCATAGAAACATGTATCGCTATCAGCATAGAAACATGTATCATCATCAGAATGGAAACATGTATCCTCATCAGCATGGAAACATGTATCATTATTAACATAGAAACATGTATCACTATCAGCATAGAAACATGTATCACTGTCAACATAGAAACATGTATCACCATCAACATAGAAACATGTATCACTATCAACATAGAAACATGTATCACTATCAGCATAGAGACATGTATCACCATCAGCATAGAAACATGCATCACTATCAGCATAGAAACATGTATCACTATCAGCATAGAAACATGTATCATTATTAACATAGAAACATATATCACTATCAGCATAGAAACATGTATCATTATTAACATAGAAACATGTATCACTATCAACATAGAAACATGTATCATTATTAACATAGAAACTTGTATCACTACCAACATAGAAACATGTATCATTATTAACATAGAAACATGTATCACTATCAACATAGAAACATGTATCATTATTAAAATAGAAACATGTATCACTATCAACATAGAAACATGTATCATTATTAAAATAGAAACATGTATCACTATCAACATAGAAACATGTATCATTATTAACATAGAAACATGTATCACTATCAACATAGAGACATGAATTAAAACAAGAAACATGTATTGATATAGATCAACCTCAAACCAAGATAACTAGTTGTTGTTGTTGTTTATTATAGCCACAACAGAAGATGCTTTTATTGATTCTGATGGACATGATTTTGACTATGTTGTTAATTTAGCTGCAGAAACAAAATATGGTCAGTCAGATCCAGTAAGTTCCTTTTGTTTACTAATAAATTTCTTTTGTCCAATAAAATTTCAGGAAAAAAAATCTTAATGTGCCTGCAGTAAAAAATTAGATTTGACTGTCTCAGTGAGTAAAACACATGCTTCTCTAACCTGAATATCCAGGGTTCAATCCCTGAATATGTTGTGATATATTTTTCAATCAGTGGTTTCCCCCTGTCAGTGATGAAGGTATATTATTATTATAGGTATATGAAGAAGGTATTATTAAACTTAGTAATACCTGTATGAAAGCAGCCAGTAATCATCCTAATATTAAAATGTATGTAGAATTTTCTAGTGGACAGATGCACTCTACAGATAAGGTTAGTATTCCGATTTCAGATTGAGAAGAATTTACTGTAATGCAGAATATGAAATTGGGTCAACTAGATAGACATTTTTTTTATTGTCATCTTGAATTTTGTGTTGTTTTTTATGAACCATGGAACAGTGGCAGGATGCTCTTATGTGCTTAGACATAGCAAGTTTGGGTTATTTCTGCTGCAATGGCCTAAGGAAATAAATTGTGTTTACTATTATTTTGATACTAAAATATTAAGATATTTTTTTTTTATGGGTGGTAAAGTACATAATCAGTTGAGTGTATTATTTTTGAGAATTAGAAACCAACGTCCAGATCTCATACAACAAAATGCCACCCTGAAACTTTCAGTTTTATTTTTATAGAAACCTGTAAAAGAAGATACTAAATGTGAACCATGGACACATCTTGCTAAACATAAACTACAAGTTGAAAAAGAACTGTCTAATTACCCTGATTTGAAGCATATTATAATTAGACCTGCTATAATATATGGTCTAGCAGATAGACAGGGACTCAGTAAGTTCATATATATATATATATATATATATATTTTATGCACCTACATTCGATATCTCTCTTTTAATGCTTGACTCAGTTGCATTTTGATATGTTCCTCTTCGGTACTTTAAATTTTCAACATTATAGTGTTTTATTAAAGTCATCACAATGGACTGTGACCATTTGTGATCCTGCAGCGACCAAAAACGTTCCGGATCGCCAGAAAACGTGACAAAAAAGCGAGAAAAAGTCCCATATGATTATAAATTCTTTAACAGTCTTACTCAATCTGCTATATGCAACCATATTGTGTTCCTAAGTCACGTCTCTATTAAATCTAAGGGCTTGGTGCATTTAACTATTATTGCATTCATGGAGATGTTACGACTTTTGTCTCAAGACATTCTCCATTGTCATATTTCATTTTCAGCTCCTAGGCTGATGATTGGTGCTATTTATAAATATACAAATGAAAAGATGAAGGTTCGTTATAAAAACTTTACGTAAAAATTGTACAAAACCATATAAGAATGTGGACTTAGTATATATTATACCTTTGACATTTCTTGATAATTTCATAGATGCTATAGTTTTCATCTGATTTGTATAAATTTATATGGGCATATGAAAAATAATTAATTCTTGGATGGGTTTGAATAAGAGGATATATGAACAAATATTTACTTATTGCATTTGATTTGATAAGTGTCCAAATCAGATACTCATTGTTTAAACATCAGAAGCTATGAAATCTGTTTGATCCTTTTTGATCAAGATTTTACTGAACACAATTTAAAGGTGAATTTTGTGAGATCATGGGTGGGCAGGTGAAGTTATCCACAGTTAATCAAGAAACCTAATATCTATATTAACTGCTATTGTATTTTGTATTGTTGTAGATGTTATGGACTAAAGATTTAAAGATGAATACAGTACATGTAGTAGATGTATGTCGAGCTACCTGGCATCTGTTTACGCATGGTAAATCAGGTGAAATCTATAATTTATGTGATAAAGGTGATACAGGTTAGTTTCTCATTCTTCTGGATTTCTTTCTTAAGGGGACACATTCACCATTTTTTGACCATTTGTACCTTAGTCTCAGAAACAGGCATTTTTTAGGTAAGCTAATCAGTAATAGTGTTCGCAGCTCACTGTCAAAATTTGATCCTTTAAAGCCATGTGTGTACAGAATTATCTGTGTTTGAATGTTAAAATGTTACTGATATCTATCAAATGTCTAGTGGCCCCTTGTCAAAATGATACTATGAAATAGATGCGGGATCATAGCTGGGCCAGCCTCTTTTCCTCTTTGTTTCCATGTAGAAATGCTTCTTGATATCAAAAGCTTGATATTTTGTAACTTGGATTTAAAGGAATATGCTATATGTTTTCTGACACTCAATGGGTTGAAGACAAAAGTCAAACTTGGCCTGACAGAGAACTTATGAGTGCTGGCATTGCCTGTATAATATGGTATTTGAGCTAAAATATCACCCCATTTTCTCATTCTGAAAGTCCAGAAGCTAATTTCATTCTTTTTGCGAAAGTTTGTCTACAAAGAAAATAATAAATATGTCTCTATTGATTTTTTAGCCACAGTTCCTCTTTGATTATTTCAGATCAAGGTGAAATTAGTGAACTAGTATCAGAGATATTTTCTATTAATTATGACTTTGTTGGTTCTATCATGTCTAATATGGCTAAGGTAAGTGTCACAAGTTGTTCAACTATTTTCTTGAATTTAAACTGTTGATTAGTTTAGTATGGATCTAAAATTTCCAAGCATTGTTTTTGATCTAAAAAATTGATTTACTACTAGAATTTGCAGTCAGCTGGATTGCACAAAATCATGATGGCAACTGTGATATTTCAGGCATTTTTGTGCTCAAGTTGTCTAAATTGGAGCTTGATTGAATTATCTCATTTATTTGTGAAATTTTAAGGTTTTACGCATTGGGTTGGTTACTTGTCGAGTTCTGCAGGTTCAGGATTGGTGGGATCAACAGGACATTGAATAAAACAAGTTGAAAAAGAATGCCTTTCACGTGTGCCGAAAAAATAGTAGGTGCATTCAGAATTCAAAATGGCGGAGAAAGGAATAGAAAGGAAAATTTGTCACATAATCCAGTTCAATACTGTTCAATTGAGTCCAGAATTGGAACTCATCTATTGAGCTCCATCACAGACTGCAACAAAGGATTCATAAATCCCTTGCAAGAATAATCCCACCTTATCTCTAATAAATATATATTATAGCTGAATATGAGTAGTATGGTAGAAGATATTAATGATAGTCACCTAGCACCCTGGGCTGATGCTTGTCAAAAAGATGATATTTCTAACACACCTTTAAATCCTTGTATAGATCAGGTAAGATTCCAGTGGCTTCAAAATATTGCATGATGTATTTATGGTGATACATGTTTGGTTGTGTATTGATAGTTTTGAGATACTATGCATTCTGACAAACCATATGTTTGTGTGTATTATACACAGATTTCTAGTCCTAAAGAGCTCTTTACTCATAACTCATAATTTGCTTAATAAGGGGTGTGCATTATTTAAAGTTAAATGATTTTTTCACAATTTCATGGAGGTAAGGTAGAGGTGCGTATTATACATGCTTGTGCACTATACTCACAATTATACATTTCATGAACTATTATATGATAAACATACCTATTTAGATGGTAGTAAATAGAACTATTATTTCAGGAACTATTATATAATAAACATACCTATTTAGATGATAGTAAAATAGTATTATTATTTCAGGAACTATTATTTGATAAACATACCTATTTAGATGGTAGTAAAATAGAACTATTATTTCAGGAACTATTATTTGATAAACATACCTATTTAGATGATAGTAAAATACTATTATTATTTCAGGAACTATTATATGATAAACATACCTATTTAGATGATAGTAAAATACTATTATTATTTCATGAACTATTATATGATAAACATACCTATTTAGATGATAGTAAAATACTATTATTATTTCATGAACTATTATATGATAAACATACCTATTTAGATGATAGTAAAATACTATTATTATTTCAGGAACTATTATATGATAAACATACCTATTTAGATGATAGTAAAATACTATTATTATTTCAGGAACTATTATATGATAAACATACCTATTTAGATGGTAGTAAATTAGTATTATTATTTCAGGAACTATTATATAATAAACATACCTATTTATATGATAGTAAAATAGTATTATTATTTCAGGAACTATTATATAATAAACATACCTATTTAGATGGTAGTAAAATAGAAGAAACAGGGTTTAGATATCTTTATACTAAATTAAAAATAGAATCATTACGAGAGGTTGGTACTCAATTGTATTTTTGATATGAAATTTTAAAGACCACTTTGTTTGAAGTTACAAATATGAGCCAAGGCTTTCTCCTTCCTTACTATGGAGCTGCAGGTGTTAGGTAACCTGAAGGTCTAGGGATCAATCCTGGCATAATAAAAACCCGATTTCCCCCTGAGTGATGCAGGTCAGAGAGGCTGACATGGAAAAAGCCTCTAGTCGTTTCGATAGAACAATAAATCAAGGCCTCTTGTGCTACATGTTGTGAACGATCCCTTGACAGTTAGAAATGGAAACAAGAGTAGGTTAATGCTGCTGTGTTTGCAAAATTTTGTACATAGCACACTGCACGGCATTGCCCGTCTTCACTGACCTATAAGCTGCAGAAAAGTAAAACTCTATAAATTTCAATTCATTTTCCCTTCCTTACCATGTTTATAGTTTAAAGCTGTTATTTTTACTGGCTGCTTTCTTGGGATAATGTCCCTCAGGCCAATCTGAACTAAAAAGGACAATTCAAATTCTGTATCGTTTTTTATCCTATACACTTTTCATTTTTCAGATGTTACAAGATTATTTAGATCTTGGATTATTTCCGAAATGTTTATTATCTGGTGAAACTCATTTTATCAGACCAGATGATGGAGAAGAATATGAATCCTGATTGAGTTATTATTAGATTTTATTACATCTTATACAACGACTCAGTTGTATGCAAATTATTTATATATTATATCATATCATTATCACATTCCATTCTTCCATACCATTTCATATCATTATTACTTTGTTTATCTAATTCCTTGATTTATATGAAGTTTTAAACCTATTTAAAGGTGGAGTATGGACTGAATTACTGGTTATTATATATGTATTTTGGATTATCTATGGAAAATCAGACTATCTTTTTAAAGAACTATAAACAAAGGACTTCTCCCTTAATTTCAATAGAAAAACCTTGGGTTCTCTCAATTGTTGAGTTCAGCACATTTATGAATTTATGAAACATTCAATAAAATGAGTTTGAACAGAATTCATAATGCTTTGCACATGTTCTGAAAAAAATAGTATGTGTAGACAGAATTCAAAGTGGCAGAGAAAGAAATAGATGGGAAAATTTGGAATATGATATATCTATTTTACCGTTTGATGGAGACATGATATGGTAATATTATTTAGAAGATAGTACATACTCCACCTTTATACCGGTAATTCAATCTCACTCTTCTTGACTCGCTACTATCAACTGATAATGACTGCTGAGGTTAAATTAATTCAGTTTCGCCAAGATTATGTGAGGATTATTTTTATCATAAACTGCTTGATGTCTGCTTTTCATCGAGTGTAGCTTACTTAATTAATTTAGCCTCCAAACTGACTGTCTTCCTGATTCCATATTTCAATTTCAACGTCATGAGATGAGCTTGTACTAATGAACTCAAAGAATGGTACTATATCTGTTGTTTCTATGGTTCCTTAAACTTGAATTTCCAATTTTTGCAACATGAGTAATTTTAAATTCCAACTGTTATGTATGCATTGTTTATATTTTCCAAAGAATTATATTGTAGTTATTGATGTTGATGTTTGTTTAAGCTTGGTTTTATTTTTTCGTGTTACTTCTTTGATATTACTAAATGAACATTAAAGAGACAACTGCACCATTTTGGGCGGTTAATTCTAGACACATATGGATTTGAAGGTTCAAATTTGACGGTGAGCTATGGACACTATTTCTTACAATAATAAAAATCTTGTGCAGTAAAAGCCCCAGTCAGATATTACTGGTAGATATATTCAACTCAATTCATGTTCCCTCTTGTATGTCTCAATATCATTAACTTCATATCATTCCCTTCATATTTGATATTTACATCAGTGCCTGCTTCTCAATCAGAAGAGATTTTCTAAGCTTATTGTTAGCTTCTTTTGTATTATATTTGCATAATATAAATTATATTTGATTTAAGGTATAACAGTCCGAAAGAGTTATTTATATTAATTCTTGGATTGCATGGGAAATTGAAACAATACAAGGCAGACATATATTAATAAATTATTTTGAAATAAAATTGCTCTAGATTCTGGGTTAAATTGCCCAAAGATTTTTTAGGGAAGGTTGCATAAAATGCCATTTTTGGGGGTTGATTTTATTCTAATATGTAAATAGTCTTCAAAAGTGCTAGAAATATACGAAAATCACATAATTCCTTTAATAAATACTTCCAACTATGAATGTCCTTTCTATATATCACAGAGTATCTTAAATTGTTGTAACGTGGATAATTCTGGACACACATAGATATGAAAGCATAAATTTTGACTGAGTTGTGAACACTGTTACTGATTAGCTTAGCTAAAAAATTCCCTTTTCTGAGATGTAAGTATGATTGGGAAAAAAAAGGGTGAACCTGTCCCTTTATTTAGTTTAGATGAAAAATGAAAAAAACATTGTTCAGTCAATATTACTTTCAACTATTAAATGTCCTAAGGTTACAGGGAATTATTAAAGGATACTTCCTCTTAGAATGAACATAAAATTAACATTCTTAATCTTGGCCAATGAAAGAGATTCTGTGGTATATTTATGACACCCAGTCCACTGATGAATATATACTCTTATTGAACAAGTTTGAGAATTTAAATTTTAAGTGCATTCTAAGAGGTAGTATCCCTTTAAAAAATGTGCTACATGAAGATTTAGCTCTATTTGAAATTTGCTATAATAATTCAGGGACTCTATTCACAAGCACTTAACCATTATAATATTCAGATATTTGGAAATATGTTGGTACAAACAATAGTAAATGTTCTAATGTTAACGATAATTAGGCAACATACCTACTGTTTTGTTTAAGTGTTTTAATTCTTTAAGGCTAATTATAGAGGTATATTGTTTAATTATTTGGTATCAGTGGTAAAAAAAGGAACAGGTTGTGTAACTCTGTAATTGTAAAGGGATAATGGTACCAAGAATTGAACTCTAACAAATAATTAGATAATATCTCTTTAAACTAACTGTGTTATTCTCATATTCCCATAAAATCTAGGCATTAACATATCCTTGCATGGTTTATTTCATTGATTTTTGCAAATATTTTATCATTTTGGTGCTTTTTTTACAGTTCTCTAATGTTATTGACTGTTTTCAAACTGGTCTGTGGTTTTAGGCCTAGTTTATCCCATTGCTGCCAAAGAATTCAACTGGTAGTATAATTATTTCCATTATGAATAATTCAACAATTAGAATAGTGAAACATCTGCCTCTATTCCAGCCTCTGATCGATTGTGCATGCAATTTTGCATAGTATTCCTTTGATGGAACAGGAGAAGTGACATAAATGGTGTAGGGATATTATGTTGGTATTTCTGATCTAAAAAAATAGCCATCTTTGGCAACGTATTTAGGTTTTAATAAAAATCTTTAAATCCCCTACACCTTTTGAGTTGCAATAAATCCCCATGCAACAGGGCCTTTTTCTGTCTCTACACCAGCCAACAACTTTCAAATTGCTATTGGAGGCTAGAAGAGAGGCACATGTTTTGGGCTACAATTTGAATAGCTTTATTGGATCTAATTTTGATAAGATAATTCCATCAAAAAATTTAAATATATTTTAGCTACTAAGGGTTTAAGGGAATTGATTTATTGAACAAACCGCTTGCTAGCAACAGATAAAATATTTCTTGAAAATTATATGATAAAAACAGAGTTTATGGTGATCAGTCAAATTAAAACATTTTAAACTTTCTGTTGTTGTTTATTCCATACTCTGCCTACATATTACATGCTCAATTTACGTAGCCATTATTAAAGAGATTTAAAAAAAAGTTTAAAGGGTACACTGTTACTGACACAGATTTGATTTGCACCATTCCAATTTTCAGTCAGCCTTCTTTGGATCTTGTAATTCTATTAAAACTAAGCGTCCTTATATAGTATTAACAGATTTTGCAATAGTGGAGTCTTTAAATGTTGAGTTTGAGTGGAATTGCAGGAACCCCAGACATCTTATTGAAAATTGGAATGATATAAATCAATGCTATCAGTATCCCTGATACTCATAAAAAGTTTAGAACTCTCTTTACAAAACTTTAATGTGATATCTTGTTGCAGATCAAATTTTTTATCCATGAACATAACAAAATTGTTGATAATTTCAAGTACTATCATTGATTTCATGGTAAACTTTTCCTTCAAGCAAGTAAATAATTCCACAGCCAACAAGTTAGCCAAAACAATTTAATCCTGAATATAGACGTCATTTTGTTTATATTTTGATTTCCTTGAAAATTTTAATTGATTTTGATTTTAAAAGCTACATATAGTTTTGAATCCAAACCCAGAAAATATGCCTCCCCTATACTTGAACAAGAGATACAAACACAAAATAACTATATTTAAAACCCTCTAGGAAAAACATAAATAAACCAAACCTCCATTTTGACCTAGACCTTAATATTAATGTACAATTGTAATTTGTACATGGTACAGTAAGGTTAATGCCACACCTCTACAGATATCGTTAGCTCGGTATACAAAATTTAACTGTACTTGAATTCCACCGTAATTATTTTTGCCAATGCCAAAAGTTGTTTTTACAATTCCCACAAAAATAATTAGCAAAATTCAATTCACCCACTCAAGTCCACATACAGTAGTGTCTCCTTGAAACGAGGTCATGTTGAGGTCATTATTTATTCTGTAAACTACCCTCATTTATCAAAATGATATTTTTATGTCAGATAACAATACGATTTCTTGTATGCAATTCACCTAACAACCAAATTGTTTCTATAACAAATCTGGCCCTACTAATCCTCGGCCTTAATATTGTCACGGTTTGGGCCAGACTCAAAATGTCACATTTTAAAGGAGTTGCTCCACTCCATGTTTGTATAGCCAGTTGCTGCAAATTTTTACCATTACAAATGCCAATTTTGGAAAACCTTTCAATACTTGCTCTACAATACCCCTGTGCCTCGCAGGGTACCAAAAAACAGTCAAGGGATAGGCGTTACTTACACAGTTCTACAAAAAAAAGTGAAAAGCCTACCCCTTGATTGATACATTGTATGAATTGTTGTATACACTAAAATAAAACCACATTAAAATAGACAACCCATTCCAGCTGAACACAATGTTAAAATCAACCAATACTGATTTCAACATTAACAGCTATGATTTGGGTAAAGAAAATCCCATTATATTGTCTAAAACTGAAGCAAATTTATACGGATCTCCAGGCACATATGGCTTTAAGTCTGTAAAGTTGACTGACTCTAATGTTTCTACCAATTTACTGAAAATAATATAGTAATTGAAAGACAAATGAAACAATCTGACTAAAATACACATCTGATTAGCCCAAAATTCCTTGCATGTAAAGGGGCAGTACACAAAATTTTCCTTATCAAACACAAATTTATAAGCGAGCAGTTATATATTTATTTGACGATCAGCACAGCCATTAATTTGCGGTATTTTTCAAACAATTGCCAACAACTTGCAAAATAAAATAGTGGATAGTTTCATATATAAACAGGTTTATTCACTCACCTAGTGGTACAATAATAAAGATAACCAACATCAGCAAATTTCTCAGCAACTTCATACTGATGATTATCCATCAGTTTTTCATTAATAACTACTAATAGAGGTTTCTTTGCTCCTAATACATCCATAATACTACCTGATCCTGTAAATCATCACAATAATATATAAAACTGATGATTGATAGAATAACTTCTGTTAAGTTATTTTAAGAAGCAAATGGTAACTAGGTGAAATGTGGATCAATGAATTAGACAACACTTAGTTTTTCCCTCTGATCTTATGAAATTCATTAAATGTAAGCTAAAGCTGTAGCTCATTTTCTAATTTAGGAAGGCAGAGAAAACATCTAACGTAATTTCGGCAGTTAGAAGTAGAATAAATTATTTTGTTTCATGGCACCTCCAGTGACAAACTTGTTAATAATTTTACAAATGTCTACTATTTTTTCTATTTCCTTCTCTAATAAATGAATCCCGAAAATTATCGCAATAAATCGTATCATTAGATGAGTATCATATAGTGTATCAAGGCTCTAATGAATTACATACTCCATACCTGCATGACTAATAACTAATGAAGCTGTTTGGATGTCTTCCTCTAAAGAGTTTTTAAATTGGTAATATTCTATATCAAAGTTTTTAACATCTGGAATATCTGGTTCAGTACCATTTCCTATCTGTAGCATTAACTCTGTATATCCTAGTTTCTTTAATACCTACAAAATTTCAACAGTGTTTGCTAATATGGACAAATATCTAAGAAAACATAATATTATCAACTTAAGATTGTTTCATAGAATTATTTTTCACCTCTATAAACCATTTAAGTAGCCTACTGTATAATGATATCATTTTTTTTCAACCCAACCACACCATTTTCCTATTAATCAATACATTTATGCTTAATCACTTAAGATGTAGGAATCTTAGTTGAAGGCAACTAAAGTCTAAGTTGACCCCTCGTCCCAGCTATTTTGAATAGAGAACCATCCTCCTTATATGAAATTAATCTGAGAATTCCCTTTGTGCTTTGTTTAAGTAGCCTACAGGTAGCCTACTGCATTTCATCAAGAAAACTCTGGTTTTTACCTCCACTGTTTGAGATGATGAAACATGGTGTATGAGCTCATCAAATTGTGTGGTTCCTACAGTCACAAATACTTTTTTATCAGACATGGAACTATTCAAATTTGATCACCTAAAAAATAGAATTTCACGCCATAATTTAATTAGTCATTTTCTTCAATGTACATTACATTGCATATAATATTTTATAATCAAATTCTAGCAGTACAATACCATAATCATTTGAAATTAAGACATTAGGCTATTAATATTAGACTGCACACATTGAAAAATGACTTGGCAGCATGTTTTAGCTGGAGCTAAAATGAACTGGTTGTAGCATTCCTAAGCTCCACCTACTTTGATCTAAGATTCTATTTGGCTCTCATGATTGAGTTATCCAAAATTTAAACCATTATGGTTTTCCTCAATCACACATTTTAAGCAAATTATTTTTCAAAACATCAAGAGAAAAATGCAATTTATGTTACGATAGAGTTTAGATGAACATTAAATAGGCCTTGGGCTTGAGTTTAGTTTAGTTTAGATGAACAATCAACAATGCAAGGTGGATCTATTTGGAGTAGCCAAGTGTGAGTTGAAATCTGTCCTAGACAAATCCTTACAGTTTGTATTCACTACCGATATTTTAGATTCAGCTATGAATGAGTAGTCTTCACGTTTCTGCACTGTTATTATATTAGCCTATGTTGTTGTTGACGTCGGTGTATCAATTTCGTTTCGGATAACTTTTGGTACAGAATTTTAAATAATCTTTAATCAGCAGCAAAAAAATAATCTGAAAAATAAAATTATGACTATTTTGGGAAATTAGATATGAAATATTGAATTTCTATATGTCTAATCTTGAAATTCTTTTTAATCATAATTAATTTTTGAGGTTCATGGATTTGACAAAATAACAACAACAATTTTAGCCAATCACAAGAAAGAGAAACAAACCTTCACAGCAATGGCCGTCAACTTTTTGGACTTGGAGGATAAAGACCCCAAGATATTTTGATAAATATCTGGCTATAGATTAAGATACAATTTTGATATAAAGGTACATTTATATAAGCAGTTACTATTTTCACTAATCATTAGAGTAGATTCATTGCATAGTCGTTTTTATTCGTAATACGCATTAATATTTTCAACACCTGCACAGGAAATTAATTTTTATCATCTGTCGATCTCATTGATAACATTTTGATAGAGGCATAGAGCCTAATACTAGTGGACTCAGAGGTTAATAGTATGTCGTAGTCCTCTTTCAGAAAGTCTTTTTTTTTACTTCTCTTCATAATGCATAATAGTATAATATACTCAGGTCAGGCTTCAGTTTCACAATTTGCCCTAGTATCAGCTTAGATCTAGTTGTCATCTTATCTTGTGTAGTTATGATTATCCAAGCCTGTTAGAATCAGCTCCTCGTAGGTGAATTTCTGGGGACAGTTTTCATCCTGATACTTTATGGGGACACATAGATGTACATATGACGATATGTTGAAAACCACCACATTAAATGGTTATTCTTTTACAATATATTGCAGGTTTTAATTTAGAATGAATAATGAAGTGTTGCCAGATTCATCTGGTGCCCCATGGTCCACTACAGCTGTACCAGTAGTGATTAAAGAGGTAAGTTCTACCTTTGCCAGGTTGGATTATATTCCAGCTGATCTCTTAAGATACTGTACCACCATTACACTATGGCTATGAGATCAAATGAATTATCAATAGGTCTACTTCACTTTAGTAAGATGCAGATTATTTGAAGGGGAAGGACAACACATCCAAAACTGAAATCCAATAACCTAATATGTAAGATTAATCAATGAATCAGACATATGGCTAAACTGGATCAATCAATAAATGACATTTTAAATATAAGCTTATATAATAATGTCTAAGATAGCCCTGTGTGCTGTGAATTAAGTATTTTCACAAGAATAGCTGAGGGGAAATTTGATTTTTTGTGGATTCTGTTATTAAGACAACTGAAATCATGGTAGAAGGTCGTCAGTCTTTTAGCCTCTATCACAAAGTTTCCCTTTACTTAACTTACCCATGAAAAACTATACCAAGCAAAACAATGAATATTCTTATTATTTTACTTCAATGACATGAAAATAACCCAGCCCAGCCCTAGTCACACCTATAATTCAAAAGCCATGTTTTAAATTTTTATGAGATATGTAAGCTTATAGTTGATGTAAGTTACTTATTCAATTAGGATGAAGATGAAGAAATTGTAGTAGATGGTGGTGCAGTAGGAGAAAATGATAAAAGTATATCAGCTGTTTTAGATACAGCAGGACCATCACATTTACCAACATCACCTATACCACTCAGTCTACAGTCAGAGTTAAATGTAAGAGCTGAAGTAATTGTAGAGCAAACTTTAGGTATGTGGACTGTTTTCAGATTTTTTCTTCTCACTAATAAGTTTTTGAAAATGTGACTTATCTTTGAGTGCAGAAATAGATGATGATGTAAAGAGGTTTTCTAAATTTTCACTGATAGTATCAATTTGCACCATTCCAATTTTCAATCAGACATCTCTAGTTCTTGCAATTCCACTAAAACTAAGTAATTGATGACATCACTAATTGCAAAGGGCCTTATGTGATATATAAAGCATATTTTGCGATTGGTGACATCATTAAACGCTTATTTTTAATGTACACACGCCTTCATCCAATGAAATGAAGGAGGGGTTAAAAATAATGAACCCCTCAGATGGGTATTAACAGAAATGAAGAGATGATTCAATATTTTTTGCAGGTTTAGGACCAGGTGAAGAAGAAATGTGGCAATCTATTGAAGAAGATATTGATGTTGTTTCATTAGATGCTGCTAATAATCGTAATGTGGTTGAAAATCGAGAAGATAGAGGTAAGAGATACAACTGTTTAAGTTTGGTAGGCAATTGGTCAATAAATTAAGATTTTGATTTACAAATAAAATGACTTACATATATATGAATAGAGCTATCTGAATAATAAGTACAGTTATATTCTGAAGAAACAATATATTATAAAATTTGATTTGAATTGCCAATTGTAATGATATATTTTGACATCCAAAAAAATTTTGGATTGCCAACTGCAATATGATCTTGCCTAAATTGAACCATGGTCCTAATTCAGTCTGATGGGGTAATATTTTCATGGGCTTACAATCATTCTATTGTTGGCAAGATCTAAGTGCATCAATCTAAAAGCAGTGTTGGAATACTAAACGAGAAGAGAAAGCAAGTTGATACTCCTGTGCTGATGATATTACCTCTGTGCATTTGGAGCCTTTTTTTTAAACTTTTTTTAACTGCTTGATTTATTTCATAATCTTATCCTAACTTTGTTTTTCAGTTCCTGTAGATGCAATTCATACAGTTTCTGCTCAGAATCACAGTTTAACAGAAGATTTCAGAAGCTACATGGGTCATCTATCTGATTTGAGAGAAAGTCCAGTTAGTCCACCCATACATCCACCATGGGAAGAGACTGCTTCAGGTGCCTCGGGAGGTTATTTCTGTCCATCAGAGGAGGATGGCTGTATGTGGAATGGAGTGAGCAAGAAACATAGACCATTGCCTCCATGTTCTCATGGGGCATCCAATGTTCCTTACTGTGCAGAAAATCCACACAGTACTGCTGAAAGAAGAGCACAAGTTCCTCATCAATCAACCAGTTATCAAGCCAACTCCCAAACTGATGGAATGTTTGATTCAACCAACCCGTATGCATTGTTCAATCTACCAGTACCACTACCTCGTAATTCTTGTTGTCAAGAGAGAAACAATGATCGCAGAAGATATGGCATTTGTAATTTAAAACGAGAAAATCCATCTCGTAATGGAGGCAACAATAGTCGTAGTCTTCATCAACCAAGTTCTTCTCAGGGTGCCCACATACATAATCCTGGTTTTGTACGCCATTCTCACTCACCTGGTTTTCTTCCCAGACCAGTTGATAATGGTCCAATAGGCTCAGTACATGTACACACCAATAGAGGCCTTGATCATGGAATGCCTCGACCACATTCCTCAAGTTCTGCACATTTTCAAGCTGAAGCTCAGAATCCCAGATCGTTGGATCCTTCAGAAACTTCTAGTCGAACATCAGGACATCCTAATCACTTTGTTCGGCGTGATCGCAGAAGACCACCACCACCGCCAGTTATGGAGGAAAGGACTCTTCCTGATTCTGCTGCAGTAGCAAGATCTGTGCCAACAGTTCCACAGCCAACTCAAGCGACAGTTGACATGGATATGGATCATGACTATGTGACTGATTGTGAACAGCCAATGAGAACCTGCACAACAGTTCAGGACATGGAGAAATCAAACTGTATGAAGAGTTCTGATCAATCTGAGATGACAGCCCAGACCAGTCAAGAGACCAGTGAAGCTGATTCTACTGTAGAATATGATGTGGTTGGTGCTAGGTCTGATTCCCCCATTATTCCTGATGTCCATATCACTGATGTGACTGAAGACAGTGATGTAGAGGTTGTCAGAATTGAAACAAATAGGTGAGTGCATTTTGTGTAATATTATGTGTCAGCTATATCCTTATAAATTATTGAAGGAACAGGTTCATCATTTGTTTGACTAATCGTATGTTAGTCTCAGAAACGAGAATTAGTTCAATATCGATATTTGAGGCTTCAAATAAATTATTGATAAACTGTATCCTATTTTGTAGAACAAGAAACAGACAAGAAGCTTCAGGAAGAGCAACTGTGGTTGTTGATTTAACAGAATCAGATGATGGTAGGTACAATTCTATTAGATACAGAAATTCTTTTATCACCTAACCTAAATTGTCATTGCTGATTTTGATGGTTGAGCATTGATATTTGAGGGAGAAAATTTAAAACACAATTCAATGCAAAGTGTCTGTCAGATTGCTCTACTTTAGGTTTCACTTTACCACAATTCTTGATTTTGACTTGTTTTGATTGGTTGAAAATAATATCATTAGACTGAAACTGTTGTAAAAGACTCGTAAGATTACAATTGAAAAGAAAAATAAAGACAAAAAAAAGACAAAATTGTGATCTAATTTTAATTTGATTAAACCATTAAATAAGCTTATCCATAATGGCTGATCAAAGATGCAGAGAACTGTGCTTTCTGTTGTAAGCCGGAACATATTAAATAGGAAGTGACTATTGTTACAGCAGTATACTATATAAAACAACAGATGTATAAATGGTTTTCAAGTTACAGCAGCGTAACACAATGTCTAATTTCGGGCAAGTTAAGGTGCAGGCACACAAGCTGTCATTGTCAGAGATTTTTGTCTCCGGCTCGAATCTTGAGTGAAATCTTTCATGTGCCCATGACAAGATTATCTTGTCGCCGACAGGATTTATAATATCAAACAAGTTTGATAATTGTCTCCAATAGTTTTATCGCCTACAAGATAGACTGTCATCATCCAATCAAATTCCTTTTCCTTTCAATTGCATGCTTACTTGATTATCGATAAGGTGGAAAACAACAGACTGGAGATTTTTGTCTCCTTGTGTGTCCGTGCCATTCGTTGAAACTCAACACACGACTTAAATCGGCGACAAATGTCTCTGACCAAGACTGCTCGTGTGCCCGCACCTTTACGGATGACTATATCTTGCCTTTTCTTGAATTATAACGTAATGATATGATTTAGAATACATGATAATTCATTAGAAACACCAATTAATCAAATAGTTTGCTTAATTTGACACTAAAAAATAGGAAACTCATCTTTGAATATAGAGGTCATAATGGAAACACATGACTATATACAATATTAGGATATAATAAGTTTTTGTAATTAGAACACTTTTTTTACTGTATATATAACAAAAGATATGTGCCATCTGCCGTAACTTTATAAAAATTGATTGTAAACTATGGCTGCCATAACTTTTTCCTGTGTCTATTAAATAAATATTATGAATTAATATAATGCCAAGATTTTATTGAATAAGTTATATCATTGAAGAAGTGCTTGTAGAAAGCTATTATGGAGAAAATTACCTGTAATTTCAACAACATTTATTGATTGAAGATAGAAAATCAATAACAATTATTTTATACAAGTAGAACATCTCTTCTCTCTTTCTGCTTTTATATTAGGCCAGTAAATAATATTCACTGTCAATTGGGTATTTTTAATAGTATTTTTGGGTTCGATGGTGTCAGTTTATGCTAATTTGTGTAATATTGGTATGATAGTGATATGCATTATGTTGAATATCTGTTTTTGGCTGAACTAAATGATCGAATAGCACAATATTTTTGGCAACATTGACAAAAAACAGAAACCCATATAAATTTGAACACTGGGATAAAGAATTAGTCATAATAACAGTTTTGAAGAAGCTTCAACCCTTCAAGGGGTTAGGAGAGCCTTCAAATCCATGTGGGTCCAGAATTAGCCGCGTTTGAAAGTTAAAATGACATGTTATCTTTTCTTGAGACACTGCCATATATAGAAAAAACATCTATAGAAATAGGGAAAGAAATTCCTAGTTTGAGATATTTTGAAGGAATTATGTGATTTTCGTATATTTCTAGTACTTCTGAAGACTATTTATATATACCAAGGCTCAAATCAACCCAGAATGGCGTAACTGTCCCTTTAAGCAGTATCCAAGCAAAATAACCTCTTTTGCAATCCAATATTTGCTAGGATTAGCCAAATTTAAAATTTATCAGGATGATCTGCCAATCTAATTATATTCTTTAAAGTAAATAACATTTACTACTGGAACATTTTGAATTGCTACCAAATTTTTAAGAAATGCGAATCGCAATTTAACTTGATTAGCCAAAACTAAATTTGGTGTGTTAATCAAAATTTTCAATCTAAACTGAACCCTGTTTGCAATGCTTAAAATTTTGTTGATGTTTTTTTCAAAGAATTACATGTCATGGCCTTACAAATTCTAGTGTTGGTATTGAATAGTAAATATTGACATTGATTATTGTTTTATTTTAATTATAGAGAACAATAATGTTTCCAGTACAGCTAGTCAGACAGTCAATGAGATGCCGATATCAACCCAGCAAACTACTTCACCCCCAGTACCTCTCATGCTTACATCACATATCTCTATACCTAATAATAGTAACATACCCCCACCCAACCCTCCTCATATAACCCCACGCTCTTACCCTAATTTACATCACTATCACCTTCATCAACCACCCCCAGCCCATACTCAAACCCTACAACACCCTAGACCAGCTCATTCTTGTCGATCAACTAACCAACATGATCATATTAACTGTCAAGATTACTGTAATGGGGTGAGTATTTATCATTTTGCCAGTTTTGGTTAAGTACTGTACACAATTCAACATTTTTGGAACCATTATTAGCAACATCTCGGCTATACATCTTATCTTGTATGCAATTTTTATACACATGGCAACAGTTCTGTTACGTGGTGAGCGAAAAGTATTACTTCTAAAGTGGCATGATTTGATTAAATGTAACCAATAAAGTTGTCCAAATGAAAAATGATTCTTTGATGGTAAATTGTCGTCTGCTTTTAAAATTGTAAAAATGAACTAATGGTGTAAAGTTTTGACAAAGGCCTGATGGTCTGAATATGCTTCTTCGCCTTACGTGTCTCATTTTGTTTTTGTAGCATTGCTCATCAAACAACTGTCCAGAAAGATTATTTAGAGATGGCAATCATTGTCGAGCACACAACATGGTGCCTAGTAATCAAGGCTCAAGTAGTCACAATCAACATGTCACAAATCAACATGGCGGACATGGTGTTCATTCAGGATATGGAGGTCACAATGGACAACATCCTATACCCCACGCTACACCTTCTAATACCCATAATCATGATTACAGACTCCATCATCCATGTGTTGGTAAGCAGACACCTCATTATCATTTAAAGAGTGTTGGATTAGGGTTCAATTTGCGGCTTGCAAGATCATGGGGTCCTATGGCTCATGTAAACTTTAGGGATCTGGTTTTTGAATAGCAAGTTGATGAACACTCACTTTAAGGCTGTTTTCCACATGTTTGTGTACATGTGCATGCGTATTGATAAAAAATACTACAATTCAACTTTTTCGCAAAGAAATTTTTCGCGTGAATGTCTTATCCAATCAGATTCGCAAGCATTGGCTAATAACATTCATGTCATATCATCATGATGTCAAAGGTGCTGTGTATTTAGTGAAAAGTAGCTGTTGAAATTTTCATTTGAATTTTACTTTAATTTCAGGATCTTGCAGTCATAATCATATGTCTCAAATACATCGGCCAGCTGCTCAACAACCTCCTAGAGCCCATTATCACCATCATCATCATTACCATCCAACCCCATTTACTGTACCCCACATGACAATGACACCCCATCCACGCTTTGTTCCTCATCAAGCTACAGAGATGTCCTGTAATCATGTTGATCCTACATCTAATGCTGCCATGTATGGTGGTCGCGATCCAATGTGTGGTAGAAATGATCCAATGCACCAGCATCAGCATCCATCTGTGCCTGAAATGGTGTTACATCCACAACCACGCCCTGTACCTGACCCTATGGTACTACATGCTCAACCCAGACCCTCCTGTATGATGACATCACAACACTCACAGGTCCCATTAGCACATTCAGATATTTTGATGCAGAGGTTGGTATATTTTGGTTTAAACATCTTAGAGTTGCTACCAATCTACTAGCTTCTCTAAATAAGTTCCCCACTATGTCTTAAAAAAAAAACTCTGGCTCATTGTGCCTCAAACAGTGCCCATGTAAGATTGATATAACTAGGTTAATACTACTTATCCTGGCCTTTCATTCTGCATGGAGGGGTTTTCTTTCATTAGCTCCATCAGATTCAGCAAACTAATGTAATTCTGGTTTTCATCTTAGAATATGAAATCTTGTTTTCTATTTAATTTATTTTTTATTTTCAGTGGCAGTAATCAGACTGGTGCTGGTCCTTCTCACCAGACACCACCAAACCTACAGCATCAGCATCTACATCATCATCTCTATCATTACCATCTCAATCCATCTCGCCTTAATCCATTCTGGCCAATGAGACTTACCCCATTTATGGTATGTACTATCATTGATTCTTTTTTGGACTGAAAACTGTTTGTTTTTTATTTGGATAAAGTATATAAGCATTTGCTTTTCCAGCCAATAGCTAAGAAAAAATAAGTAAATTACATGATATTGAGATGCTTGACATCTTGACAAGCCCCATTTTAGTCTCATATTAAATTATTGAATCTGTCCCCCAGGCTGAATGTTAGACATTACCATGATACCTTTACATTTCTTTGGTGTAAGTAGGCTTAATTCTGACCAGTGTAAAATAATCGTTGTTATTTTACGCACTATTTTAAATCTGATTTTTTCCCATTTGATTATTCTACAGCCACCAATGCCAGAGATGCCACCATTTCCTCCCCTTCCTGCGTTTGCACATCTACCAAGAAATATGCAAATGAGATTAGGTGGAATGGTTATTCATGGTCCATTTGAGGTAAGTAATTTTATTTAAACAAAATTTAGTTGCTTTTCTATTTAGGATGATAAGCACTAGTGCATGAAAGCTATCTAGGGCTGAGTAAAAAAATCAATTATGGTCATTAAGAATTTTAAATGTCAAAGTTGCACTGTACCTGTCATTGGCTATTTCTTCCACAAAGTTTCCTTTCAGCATGTAACTTTCCCACAATAAACTATAGTAACTGATCAAAGGCAATAAGCATTCATCATTATATGTTTTTGACACAGAAATAACCTATGTAATTAAAGATTTGGACATACTTGATATTAAGTATTCAGAACAATTTTTAAGATATTACTGTCAATATCTCAATTTGGTAATCGATAACCAGCCCTAGCGCTAACTTTTTTAGGTTCCTGATGGTTTCTCAATGTTAATATTTACGTTTTATTTTTAGTATGCTTTTGATGGACGTGGTAGCAGTGCTAATCGTGGAGCATCACAAGCTGTTATTGAACAGAATACTCTGCCCCATAAATATAAACAGGTTAGTTCAGGTTATTTTACTAGTGTTCTATCTTAATAGGTTGGGTACCTTTGAATTTGTTGAAATGTGATCAGTTTTATAGATCTAGATACTGAATTTTGTGTGCTTTCTGACTCTATTCTAGTTCACAAAGGGCCAGTTATTTTCAACAAATTTTTTTTAAGAATTTTCGCCAAAGTTGAAACCCAAATTTTGTTATCTATACAAATCTGAATCTTTTATGAGTTCATCAAGACATTGTCAAATATTCTTCAATGTCCCTGTAACCTATACAGTACTATTTACGAAGTTAAACGAAGCAGGGAAAATCCTGCCACTTGGCTGTTGGCTGGTACTATGTGGTGCACAGGCACATTGAAGAATATCTGGTAATATCTTGATGGATTCATTGATACATAACAAAATTTATACAAAATTCTCAAAAACTAGCGACCCAAAAGTGTGATTTATGTTCGGCCCAAACATTCCTATATTCCACCCATAAATCACGTCAGAGGTATGAGTATGGCCAGCTTTGTTAAGATACTGGAAATTTCAACCTGTTTATGGTGCATATCTAAACAGGTAAAAAGATGTGGAGATGAAGAAGAAGAAAATGATGATCAATTAGAGAAATGTACTATTTGTTTGAGTGAATTTGAAGATGGTGAAGATGTTAGGTAAGTTTCTAATTTTAGTTGTTCTGTATTCTTAATATTTCACTGTCTTGTACCTAAAAGTGTTGATGTATATTCCTCCTGTACTTAGACACTCTCTGTGTTGTAAGGATAGGTATAGAAGCTCAGAGAATTTATGGGGAGCCCTGGTGGCACAGTGACGCTTGCTCCCTAACCCAAAGGTCCCGGGTTCAATCCCAGCATAGGTCAAGATAATACCTTTGGTTTTTTCAACCAAGTTTCCCCCTGTCAGTGAGATGAAAAAAGCATCTAGTCGTTCGAATAGGAAAATAAACAGACTTTGTGTGCTGTGGAAATTGAAAAAAGAGCGGCCTTATGCCACTGTCCTGACAAAATTTCCCTCATTGCACCCAACATGACTTTGCTTGTCTTCATTAGCCCACATGGTGCAGAAAAGTAGGACGTAAAACTCCATTCACTTCATTGTTTTTCAAAGAATTTATGGATAAGATATCTGCTTTTGTTTTCCATATCATAATACCTATTTTGTACATTGAGTGCAGACGGCTAATAATTATTATTATACCATTCTTCAATGAGGTTATTATTTTTTTCAGACGGTTACCCTGCATGCATCTATTCCATATAGAATGTGTTGATCAATGGTTGTGTACCAATAAAAAATGTCCAATATGTCGTGTTGATATTGAAGCTGGATCAAAAGACCAGATATCTGCTGATTAGTTTGTTATATTTATTTATTTTCTTCATTTTAAAATGGTCACTTAAATTCTACATCACTCTGCTTGTAGCTTCATAAAAGATGTAGCATGCAACATTGAAGGTACGACAAACATCAGGATCTATATTTAAAGGTCATGTTTGGTGGTGACTTGCTTTGATAACAGCAAAAACATAAAGCTGAAAAATGGGTAGACTAACTAATTTAAGCTGTTATGAATATTTCTAATTGGTTACAGATAGATATACTTTTTCATCTACATTTAATAGACACATTAATATTTAGCATTTTCAGTATTTATAATTTCAAGTCATTTTATTAAAGCCAATCTTGTCAAATTATTAGGTGCATTTCATTTCTAATACCTTGACAATGTGATAATTTGGCTGGAAATGTTGCATGTTAAAAGCTATTTGATGCTTTCTTAAAGTATGTGTACTTCTAAATGTAATTTAGGCATTGAATATCAAAGCTTGCCTTTGTGTCATGTATTTTTCATCCTTATATAATTACAGTCTAATTAGAATTAGACCTTCGATCCGTTTTTTATTATCTTTTATTTTTAATATAGCCACTTCAGTTAGGGTCTTACTTCAGCCCTCTTGAACATTCGTCAAATTAACCTTTTGTTCTAACCTGAAAAACATAGCATCAGCGTCACGCAAGCGCTGAAGAGCGTATAAATTTGACTACTGGCATCATCGAGTTAGATCATAAGGTTAATTTGACAAATGTTTAAAAGGGCTGTCCTTAGACCCTAACTGAAGTGGCTATATTAAAAATAAGAACTAATAAAAAACAGAACCAAAGCTTGGTCTAATTTTAATAAGACTGATATAATTAGCAATTAACAATCTGCTTTAATACATATAATATAATGTGCAATATTCTGCATTTTCTGACTTAAAACACTTAATTTGTTGTATTTACAACTTTATTTATGGTGATTTCAAATTAAGCTGTATACCTCAATACATATTAGCCTTAGTGTTTTTTTCTTACTTAAATTGCTTATTTTCACATTGTCTTAACTAATACCAATAAAATTGCTGTTTGACTTAAAGAGATTGTAAAGAGATTTTCTAATTTTTATGTGTTTTAGACATCTGTTGATCCTGCAATTCCACTAAAGTTACTAAACTAAAATGTTTAATGACGTCACTAATTGCAAATGACCTCATGTGATACAAGCATATTTTAAAAATAATGATGTCATGAAACACTTCATTTTAGTGGAATTGCAGGAACTGTAGACAACTAATTGAAAATAGGAAGGTTCAAATTGATGCTATCAGTGTCCAATACACATCAACAATTTAGAAAACTTGTTTATATTCCCTTTAATTGAGGTCATTTTCCTATTACCGGTATTTAGAATTTTAATTGTATTTTGAAATGTGCTATATGTACTGTAACGAAATTACTATATTCATTATTTTATTTGTATTATTTCATAAATTTGTAAAAATCATACAAAAAAGTAGGTAGTCGAAATTCAAGTATTCTAAATTCCAGGGATACCTGACACCATTTGTATTAATGTAAAGTCTCATTTGAAAGACAAAATACATTTGAATTTACAATAACAAAAAACTCACTGTTTAAATAGTGCTCAATATATATATTACGAAATGATATTACGAATATGAAAATAAATTTGCCACGCTCTAGTGTAAAATGAAATGAGAGAAAGCATGTTGATTTCCTTCCAATTACGAACAATTGTATGTAAAATTGAATAACTTAACTCAATAATTTATTGATATGAATATTATTTCATATTATCAACTGTTTTCTATGACCGATAATCATGGACAATAATATCTAGATTTAGAGTCATGCTTGAATTGTAACAGTCTGAATAGAAACTATTCAATCTTGAATCATATCAAATGAAAAGCTATAGAAAGTGTTATAAGACTATATATCTGCAAGCTATCGTATTTTCTTTTCAATAATAACAGAGATTAAAGATATTAAATACAATAGAAGAGTGTAAAAGGTCATTAATGTTCAACCAATACTATCAGTTTATCTATAGATCTTATCTAGTCCCTTTGAACTTTTACTTTCATTTTTGATTTAAAATAAATTAATTTGGGCATTATATTTTCCATTAATTGTCACTATTTCACATTGTTCATTGCACACAAATATATTTCATAATAATATTTAACTGAATGCTAAAGTAAAAATAGAATTAGTTCTTTTTGAAATAGAAATCCTTAAAGGGATTGTGAAAAAGTTTTCTAAATTTTTTTATGTGTATCAGGGACACTAATAACTTTAATTGTACCAATTAATAGTCAGATGTCTGTAGTTCCTGCAATTCCACAAAAAAATTTGATGACGATGTCACTAATCGCAGAATTTGCTTTATCACATAAGGCACTTCGCGATTAGTGTTGTCATCAAACACCACAGGAACCACAGACGTCTGATTGAAAATGGACTATTGCAAATTGATGCTATAAGTGTAAAAAATTTTGAAAACCTCTCTACAATCTCTTTAATCCAATATTTTGAAAAGCTAAAATTATAGCTGTTTAAATATTTGTTTTAACACCTTTTTGAAACTATTAGTTATCCATGTCACTTTTTAGAATAAACAATGGACTTCATGTTTGCCTACAATTAAATCAATTTTATATCTCCAAGTCACATATTTAACTCATTCATCTCAAATTATATTTGGCACTCGCAATATTTTGCATCATATATTTCTTCGAATCATACTTTGTAAAAAATTAGTTGGTGAATTGTTGGAGCAAGGTATATGTTGTATTGATTAATAAAATGAGGACTGGTCAATTCAGACTAGAAGACTAGATGATTGTGACTATGTTATGTACATATTTATGAAATTTATTTATTTTATTGCCTCTTATGAAAGAACTTTTCGTAAATTGGTATTAATCATTTCTATTTTTTAAAAAAAGAAGAAAATTTTAACTAAAAGATCAACTTTTTTCATTAGAATTATCAAATTTTTGATTTATTGACATGCTTATCTTTAATATTAAGATTTTTTTTTTTTCCATTTGCCATTTTGTCTACAGGTTATTACACAATATATATGTACACTTTCCATTGTACAAATTCATTTAATTACTTCCCCTAGATGTTTTGCCAAAATTGTAAATTATATTTTCAAGTATATTACACTTAGAAAGTGGAAGAATGAATTATATTTTCCAGGTTATACTAAGCCTTCCTTCAAAATATTCTTTCTTTTGTCTCTGTAAATCAAAGTTTACTAAAAATTTTTTATGTGAATTGGATTATCAGTTTCAAAGCAGTATTGATAATCTTATAATGACTTTGCAAATATGAAACTGGGCATGTATTATCAGACCAAAATTGTAGACATTTTCGATTAAAAATCTCCAAATATAAATTTAACATATAATATAGAAATTTATCATAAACGTTTAGTACTGTATTGGAGTTGATATTTGATTGACATAAAAAAGAAATACGATTAACCAATCAAATAAGTTAAGAGTAGCTTTTAAGGCAGTCTCATTAAAAATTTTGATAACTTATTTGAGGTCTTAATCTACCTTATTTTGAGAATTTTACAATTCTTGTTGATTCAAAGGAAAATATTTTTTATGTCCAATTTGGGATAGTTAAAGGCCTCCCAGCTGTGAAGTTTTAATAAGGCTTGGTATAACTTATAAAGTATATAAAGGTTATAATTATTACATTATGATTATTATTATTATTATTCCACTCTGTAATTATGGTGCTCAATATTTTCACTTTAGTGTATAGTCATTTATACTATCTTGATTACATAAGAGGAAGTAGACAACAATGGTAGAAAATTATGCTCTTTTGTAATGAAGGTAGAATTAGTTCATTTTGTTTGCCCTTTGTCCACAAACATCGTATGATTTTAGCTTTTAAAGTTGCTTACAAGAAATTTTGAAACTGAAGTTTGGATTACATCAAAAATTTTAAGATATTTCTAAGTCTTCTAGTTTTAGAGCAGCTAGCTATATGACATCGATCGCTGTAAATATTTGCTTATCTTTGACAAATCATTTTCTTGATCTGGCCAATGACGGGTCTCAAATCATTTAGTTTTGATCACTAATGTGTTGAATTCAGGAATCAAAGCTCCTAGAGAAAATTAGAATACGTGTAACTCAAGGCTGTTTTATTTATTTTTTTGTCAGTCGGACATTTTTCAATTATCGGGTTGGTCATCAAGTTATTGTAATATCAAGCAGTGATTAATGGCTTTATATTTCATTAGAGAGTTGTCATTAAATTTTGAATTAAACAGACATTGAAAGCCATGTAATAGCTAACCTATACTTGATGTCTGATAGAGAATATTGACCATCGGTCATTTGAGCCAAATCAACAGCCCAGGTGTAACTTTGACATGGAAATAACACACACAAACATAATCAGTCATTTTGAATCTCTGTCTTGACTTAATAAGTTGAATTTTAATAAAGGTTATAATATTTCAACTAAGCCATCAAATCACATTTAAAGTTTTATAAATGGCTTTAAATGTGAATTAAAGGCTTTATTGAAACATAACCTTTTTAAAAAACTGACTTATTAAGTCAAGGAAGAGATTCAAAATGGTTGTGAACTATGTTCAGATGTGTTATTTCCATGACAGAATCATAAGCAGTTTCGTATGAAAAGTGAACAAAACGCAAATACATATTTCTTGCGGAAGGCTACAAAAGGACAAAGGGTATATGAAAGTTTCCCATGTATTAGAATATTTTAGTTGGCTATAGAAGCTGTGATAGATATTAAAATAAAGAATTTAGCCTTAAAAAATAAAATTATGTTGTATATTGGTATATGGTATTATTGTATGATATGAATGTACACTATATATTTAGATTTTTAAATTTAGAGTATATATAGTTAGCTATAATTATATTTATATTTCATTCTTCTCATCTTCATTTGATTATTATTATTATTATTATTCACATTGAAACCTCATTCAATCAGGCTTAAATTG